TGAGCTCTGAAATTCAACGATTCTGAACAACGCATAAACATATCATTTACATAAATAAAGCATGAGAAGTGATGTTAAAATAAATTTAGGTTCCTAACGACACAGTGGAGTATTTGAATGCCAATAATTCATTATAAGTCTATTCGCCCATTTTCGATGTTTAATTTTTGTATAGGGCACAGAGATCACTCAACTACACAAATGTGTATAAGCTAGACTTGGCTAGACCTATATACAGGGTGATTCACATAACAACCGACATAGGGCAGGGGCATGTAGGGGGTCCCAAAATATGGCAATTTAACGCAACTTACCTCTTTACCTTAGGAGTTATAGGCGTAGCACTAACAGCATGTCAACTCTTGCTCGTTAAAAGAAAACTTCCCGTTCATTTTAAAAACACTCAAACAACAATTACTTAATTGAACAACTCACTTGCCTCATTGTCAAGTTTGACGTTTATTTTCATAGCCAACTTTTGAATTTTCGATGATTTTAAATAACACACCTAGAGCGCGCGTTTTCAGTTATTCGAGTTTTTGATGAAAATGATGAGGTTTTTCGAAAAATTACTAGAGTAAGAAAAGTTTTAGAATTGAATTGCCCACGAAACAAAGCAAAGATTTTTGAAATCCATCAAGGGTTAACAAAATTATGTTGAATATTGATGGTGCGCCACCCGGTATACCCCCTTTACAAATTTCAATTGAACTCTAGTTACTGTCAAGTAACGCCCTACATACATCCACAAAGTGTTACAAATTTGGTTGCTTTAAGTTCAAGAATAACGAAGATATTGATTTTTTTCAAAATTTATAACTTCACTTTCAAAGCCTATATCTCCTTAGGGAAGCAACTTGGTATAGAGATAAGTTGCGTTAAATTGCCATATTTTGGGACCCCCTACATGCCCCTGCTCTATGTCGGTTCTTATGTGAATACCCCTGTATACCGCCAGAACCAAATTTGTATATGCGCATGTGCGGCGTCGCCATGGTTACAAGGGGGAATTATTCAAGGATTATACTGTAAAATCCTTAGGAATTATTTCCACCAAGATGGGTTTATCTCTGCTTGAACCACTCGCTAAACTTCCTTTCGCCAAATATAATGAATGATCAGATATATTATCATCGCATATAATATCCTATATCTATACTATTTTTTGTTATGATGACATGTGTCACATATATCTATATATTAGGTACCTGTTTATCTATGGTATGTTTTCAGTTTATTTCTGTGACAATATATAGTGCATATTTGGTTTCGAATTTCGACTTTGAATGTTTACCTACCATCATCAGCATAAGATTGTTTTTCTATGAAGGGAAAAAAGTTTGACAGTTCATCTCTGATGACAGGTTACAAAATATCACTTTTCATAAAATTACTTTTTTCCCACACAAAGAAAAGTGAGTACTTTTTACACTTTTTTCTAGGATATACCGGGTACCATTGGGATCTCGGAAACTATAGGAGATATACCAAAATGGTTAAATTAGGGCAAAGTTGATGCGTATTCATGTGACTATAAACTTATGTGGTCGCGAAAATTTATAAATTCCAGGATTTTCGGAGATATTCGGAAAAAACTGAAATTTTGTCAAATCATTTTTATTTTTTTCTGGCGTTATTCGTTAAATGAAACAATATGAAAATTGAAAGCACATTTACATTGCTACTTTTTCCCTGCTATACGATGACATTTTCACATTCACCATCCAACGTTTCGTCTTTATGCCACTATCAGCAACTTAATTTTTTCTTATGGGTGCCATTGGATTTTCATTAATAATAATAGCATTTTTCTCTTCTAATTTCAACGATATATAACACGTTATACTTCGCAACCTCACAACCTCGGAAATTTGAAAAAAATATATTGATTTCGTACCTGGCCTTGACTCAGTCAAATAAATAACAGCATATATTTGAAGAATGTCGGCGAAAATAATCGATTTGTTGTAACATCATCATTTGTCACGTCTGCGGGTCTGCTGTCACACCTTCAGAGTGATAATAAACGTAAAATGATTTCTTCAAAGGAAAAATAAAAAGATATGATGAAACTATTCAATAAACTTCATTTCCATTTTAACGAAACGAAATATGAAATATGACACATCACCTTAAATATCAAAGCATTTGCTCAAATTTTCTGCCATCTTCCTGAATACAAACATGTACTCTCCGTCCTAAATTGTTCATAACCCTTATTATACATCCCTTCTCATATTCTCCAATTATGCTGTTATTACAAACTACAAAAACTTTTTTTTTTCAAATATTCGAAGTTGTGAGGTTGTCAAATTCATAACGTGTTATATATCGTTGAAATCAGAAGAAAAAATGCTATCATTTATGAATGAATATCCAATATATGGCGCCCATAAGAAGGAATAAAGTTGATGATGGTGGCGTAAAAAATGAAACGTCGGATGGTAAATCAGAAAATGTTATTAATCCAGTGAATAGAGACACATAGAGGGGGTTCACCTTACAAACGGTCCGGTAGTTCTGTATTTTTGATATGTTATCTAGGGTGGTTATTGAGTGTTCAAAATGCAAAATGCACAATTTCCCCCCCCTCCGCGCGCTCCGCCATATTGAAAAAACCCAAAGAAATCGGCACTTCCTCCAGATTTTCGCGTATATCTTCGTTTTGGTGCATTTAAACTACAAATGAGCTCCATTTGATGTTGTAGAAGATTAAATTTCCTATAATTCTCGTTTCGAATTTTGTTTCTAGGACTGATACTTACGGAGATATGATTTTTTTTATAAAATAAAAAAAACGCATGTTCCGGAATTTTGTCAAGTACGTTCAGCGACACTATGGCACCAATGTGATGGTGATTCTTGATGGCTACACTACAGATCCTTCTCAGCAAGGGACCAAGATTGCTGAACGAGCAAGAAGGTACAAGGCAAACTCATCATCAAACGTGGTGTTTGACAAAACCACTGTCAACACCGTACCTCAGGATAAATTCCTGGCCAATGAAGGGGAACAAGGACCGATTTGTGAAGCTGCTCTGCAATGAAATGCAAGCGTCAAATACAGTCCTAGACTAATAAGCTTCCGAAGATGCTGACAGGTTGATAGTTGCCACAGCTAAATGTCTGTCCCCCACGTACAACGCCGTCATCATTGTAGGAGAAGACATTGACCTACTCGTCCTACTGACTGGCACAGCACCTGCGGTGAACAATGTCTACCTCGAAAAACCAGCCAGAGGGAAACACCAGACGCAATCTACTCCGCCTCCTCCTACAAGTACAACTCCAAAGGTTGTATCTTGCTCCTGCACGCAATATCTGGCTGTGACACCACATCTTACATTTCTGGGTTCGGAAAGAATAAATTCTGCCAACTTTTTAGGAGAGACCCATCAAGCGGAGAGGTTCGAGGACCCTGATGCCAGTCCCCAAGAAATTTCAGTAGCAGGGAAGAGAATCTTGCTATCCCTATATGGTGGCAGTAATGAACAATCGTTGAGCTCCCTTCGCTATAGCAGATTGAAAACAATAAGTACCCTCAAACTCAATCTGGCTAAACTACCTCCGACCACTAACTCCGCACATTTCCACTTACTAAGGACATACCACCACGTCATTGAGTGAATGGGTAGGTCAAGTAAAAATTCAAAGTAGGATTAGTATAAACCCCAAATTCAAGCTTAAACTGTAAAATGGTTAGTGAATATTTTTAGATACAATGTGGAGTTACAATAGCCAAAAAAACAATATGCCGTTGTTTTAACTTTCACGCCCCATTACGTAGGGTGGGTGAAACAAATTGTACATGCATTTCTGTAGGTAATTAAATTACCTACAAATCTTCTTCCGATACTTGTTTCCCTAGAATAGGCCATAAGTGAACTACAGCATTCTAAAGTGAGAAGTGAGAAGAGAAAATGCGATTTTTTACATTTTTTAAAAAGATGCATATCTCCGTTACTATCAGTCCTAGGATCAATATTCAAAACGTGAATTATAGGAAATTCAATCCTCTACAATACTTAATGGTACTCTTTTGTAGCTTAAATGCACTATAACGATAATATATAAGCGAAAATCTGGAGAAAGTTCCTATTTTTTTCGTTTTTTTCAATATGGCAGTGGGCGCGGAGGAGGGGGAATTGTGCATTTTGCATTTCAAACACTCCATAACCATCCTAGATAACATATCAAAAATTCAGAACTACCGGACCGTTTGTAAGGTGAATAACCTCCTCTATTCACTGGATTATATACATATATCGTATAGCAGGGAAAAAGTGGCCATGTAAATGTGCTATCAATTTTGATATTATTCAACGAATAACGCCAGAAAAAAATGAAAATGATTTTACAAAATTTCTGTTCTCACAACAATAAAGATACCTACAAAAAGATGCCTGCAACACAGAAAACACGACAGGTGGCCTACCAGTTAAAAACTTCAATTTTTTTTCAATCAATCAACTTTATTATTCCCAAAAAACATAATTTTCTGATTGTATTATAATATAATATATTCTCAATATTGGAACCGTTTTTCCTGTCACTGAAAAAATAGTGTATTATACACGGAAAAATATTAGATTTTAGCTCTCGGTTTTTTTATGGATTTTCACAATCTCGATCCAAAATCTAATACTATTGACTTGTTATATAGGTACCATGTGCATTATTATAAGAACTAGACTGTACTATTTATTTGAAGCAAATAAACTGAGAAATTAGAACATTTTCTCCTGCATGGTACCCATATACCTAGCTACTATTACCTACATATAATAATAATTTTTCTGAAGTGCAGAAAAAGTTGCGTATTTTCGTATTTAGGTAGGTGTAGGATGTAGGATCGGATTAAAATCAGATATAAGTTGTACGCCTAAGACGCCTACGCCACTGTCGAAGTCAATAAGTAGAAACTTGGCCGGATAGCCATGGTAACTAAGGCCATTCAAAGCGAAAATAAGAAGAAGTAGAATCTTAATTCTTAACCTTCATGAAAATCAAAACATAACCTAACATAACCTGCTAGTACTAACCGTGAAGAAAAAGGATTTGATTTTTGTTGTATTTGTTGTATTTGTTCCCAAGATCCCAAATTATGAGAACGTTTTGAGTAGGTAGTGAAACCTGTAAACCCATTTATTGAGACCTTGGTATATTGAGTGTATTTCCAAATTGCAAAACGTAGGCGATAAAAACTTAGCTGCTCAGCATGAGTGTGAACAGAGAAAATGTACTGTCTTACAAAGGCAGTAACTTTTTTCGACAAAGATTGGTGCTATCAGTATTGAGCGGAAAACCTATATTCATATCTGACATACGAATTCTAGAAGATGAACCAGGTTTGAGAGAATTTGAAGTCAGTTTAATAAGACTCCTTGATAAAATTACAAATGGAACAACAGTTGAATTGAACGAAACTGGAACGTCAGTATACTTCTTGCCTGGTTTACTTTATGGTGGTGAGGTAGATCATGATTGTTCCTTGGAAAGAGGTGTTGGTAAGTATCAGTTGATCATTGAGTATATGACATGAGTACAACAACTGCAAATCTTTTCAGGATATTATCTTGAAGCTTTGGTTATGTTGGGTTTATTTTGCAAACAACCACTCAAGGCAACTCTAAAAGGAGTAACTTCTAACAATATTGATCCTTCAGTTGATCTTGTAAAAACTAGCATGTTGCAGACTATGAGAAAGTTCATATTAGATGATGAAGGCCTGGATCTCAAAATATCCAAGAGAGGTAGATTCATTTATTCATTCAATCTGATCCCCAACCAACAAAACATTGATTCAAAATCAATAAATTAATATAAAGAATCCAAGAATGAGAATACATTTAGACTCACATTTAGAATGATTTTTTTTTTTCAGGATTGAGGCCCCTAGGTGGAGGTGAAGTAATTTTCAAATGTCCAATTCGAAAGCAAACAAGGCCTGTACAATTATCAGACTTTGGAATGGTTAAACGAATCAGAGGGACAGCTTATGCTCTGAGAGTATCACCTGCTATAGCAAACAGAATGGTTGATAAGGCAAAGGGGGTCCTACTGCAGTTTATTCCAGATGTTTATATCAATACTGATCAATGTAGAGGTAAACAATCTGGCAAAAGTCCAGGATTTGGAATTCATCTGGTAGCAGAAACTACAATGGATGTCTGCTATTCATCAGAACAAGTAAAGAAACAAGAAAAACTGTTCAGAAACAGACCTTTTTATGTTCATATTTTAGGTATCAAATGTAGTATCAATTGGAGAGGAAACATCAGTACCTGAAGACTTAGGTGCTGCTGCAGCTCAAAGGTTACTCTATGAAATTTACTTAGGTGGTGTCATTGACTCAACTTCTCAATCTGTGGCAATATTATGTATGGCACTAGGAGATAAAGATGTTTCGAAAGTAGTAATGGGACCATTATCTGATTATTCTATTTGGTTTTTGAGACACTTGAGAGAGTTTTTCGGTATTACATTCAAAATACAGCATCTTGAAGATGAAGAAGAAAATACTGGCAGGGGGTGTAAGAAAATTTTATTAACTTGTGTTGGAATTGGTTATACTAACTTAAGTAAAAGGACAATATGATTTTGAATTGAAGTAATTCCTCTTGTTTCCCATATTTTTTCTCCTGTTCACTTCCTCAAGTTCTATATCATTACTTAATAAGTCTAGTAGGTAACCTCTATAAAAATATCCGGTAACCTACTCAAAGCCGGCCCGAACCATAAACCACATAGGTACTTTATGTAATGAAAGGGGTTCTTTGAACTAAAAGTGCTAGCTAGCTAACTGATATTGACTGGTAGTCAAAGTCATTGCTATAAGGCACCTACAGTAGAAAAAAAACCTTTCAGGTATAACCTCTGGGGTGTTTACATATACTATCAAAAAGTCATAAAATCAACAAAAATAAAGATGTTACCAAAGTAGCAAACTTATGAAAGGGCATTTTGATAAATAGTAGTAATAAAGCACTGCTGTTCATTTCATCCTATGATCTATATACCATGCATTCACGTCTCGTCTAGACCTCACATAGGACATATTATGTCAAGGTCAAATGCCTTTGGATTAATTGTAATTAGATTCAAATTCAGTCTGTTTTTATCACATGGAAATTCAAATTTTCTAATGGCAAAAAAATACAAATTATATAAATTTCAAGTTTACTTCTACTGCTCATAACAATGCTTGAGTGTAATTCGGTAAGACGATTTAATGAATATGTAAATAACGTTATTGTTGATCGTTTTTTCAATTTCTCCACTCGAAGACTCGCTAATCTCAATATTTCCACAGATTAAATACTTTTCTGAAAAAGCAAGTTAGAGAAAATGGCTAAATACCATCAAATGAGTTATTTTGTTTATAATTTTGGTTGTCATGCTTTCAAATGATAAGTTAAGTTTCCGTTTCGTCACTGGAAAAGTTAGGGCAGACTTTTTTCGCTGTCATAATGACAAAATCACAGCAGCTTACGGAATTTTATATAGGTACTTACTTTCAAATTAAATTGTCAAAATGAAAAACGAACCTGCACGCTGCAGTTTTAGCATTTTTCAGATTTTCTTCGATCGTCGGGGGGGGGGGTAATAACCTACCTCCGTTACCCCTCTCCCCACCCTTGTATACGCGCATGGGACATTACTCGTGAGGTATGGTGATTTGGTGGGAGCGAGAAAGCGATAGCCATGCCGCTTCCTCACTCCTACGTAGCTGCTGGCCCCGACTCTGAGACTGATTACTTATTTTGATAGAAGTAGCGATTGATATATATAAGCTGGCGCAAAAGTGGAAGCAACATATTACATTTTCATCATATGTCTAGGCATTGTCGATCTAAATGAAAACCTAGTAGGCGACCTAGTGGGAGGAAGTTATTATAGCTCTTGCCCACTAACTACGAAACTAGGTTGTCATCTAGAACGACAATAATGGTCTATAGGTATTAGGTATAGTCTTAGCGAATTGTTTAGACTGAAGTTGAAGTAGCGATTGATGAGCTGGCGCAAAAGTAGAAGCAATGTACATACCTATTACGACATTTTCATCATATGTGTAGGTAGGTACCAGATTTGTCGTTCATTGGTATATATAAGTGATCTCCCAGAAATGATAGGGTTGTCCACCCTACCGATTTGGGCGGTAGTTCATCGCTTATATTAAACCAGACCCTACGCAGAAAGCACCCACAATCTCCCACTCTTCAAAAAAGAACAACAACGATATTCCCATAAGACCAAGAATTTTACAGTACCTACCCAGAACCAACACGTCCCCTGAATTCCAGAAGATCGTATGTAACACATTTTCAGAAAATGACATTTTGGTGTGTATGTAAAGATTTCATCGAGTACTATTAACTTCTAAAATATCGTATGTGTAATCGCACTGTATATATTTATTTTTTATAATCATTCAAAATCGTATGTGCATTTGAAAAAACTGTTGACTAGCAAAATGTCTCATGTGTGAAATGTAGTCATAGGTCACTTTGACGCGATCTATTCAGATTGAATTGAACATTTTCTCGAACTGCAAAAGGTCTTTCGTGCATTTGTGCCACATGCAACTATTGGTCAGCTAGTCGAAATATGCATCATCCTCATAGTGATGAGTTCTCAAATGAAACTGTTCATTTGTGAAATAAAAATGTATTGTAAGAAAATAAAGGCATGATACATTACAAATGAATCAAATGATCCTTGTTTGAATGATGCCAAGTGAATTAGGAGTGAAGACAGGAAGAAAGTTCGACTGAGTCTGGTGTATTCCGATAACAAGGATGGGATGAAAGCTATCCAAGGTGAGACATGATGAACTACCCACAAGTGAGTCATAATAGATGAGGCCAAGTGAATCAAGATAATTGTAGTTATTAAAATAAGCACCTAGCCAATAATGTCGTTGCATAACTCTAAGTGAAAAGTACACTACCCACAAGTGAGGTATTCTATGAGGCCAAGTGAAACAAGTCACCTATACTTATCGAACTGACCACCTATCCAATGATTTCGTTGTATAACTGCAAGTAAAATGTACACTTAGGCCAATAAAACAAATATTCTGTCCCTAATAAAGCGTTTAATATCAGTAGGTTACATGTGTTCCTGATATCACATTAATAACAACAAGTGATCAGATTCAGAAATATCATTTTTCTTGTGGCTGATGAGGCGAGTACTTGTCCCATATAGTATGCAAATTTTTACTTGGTAGTATGCAAATTTCACTAGCTGTTATTAAAGTTTTTTTTCCGTGCACATATTTATTTTACATAAAGTCGTGAGCGCACGAATGAGTACATGCGACCTTCGATGGAACTAGAGTCGATGGATAAATCATTTCGATACCATTCTCGGCATAACGCCGTATGTGCTTGAATCTGTACATGCGATCTCGAGTCAATAATCTATCAGTTATCGCCGACCTATGTCATCGTGGAGGAAGAAGTCAGGTGTGCGGTTTTCTAGGTATTCACCTAAAAATAAAGTGACTGTGACCATTCGGCGGTTTCGTGTTAGTCCAGTATAATTCCAATTCTCGAAAGAGGTAAGTGATTTCAACCCTCACAAGTTTAAAACTTGCCCGCAAACAATTTTTGTTGAAGATGATCATTCCCAGGAGAACTAATAAGTGAATTGCCCATCGTTCCACCAAAGACCAAAAGAAAAAATCATTCAGAGCCAGAATTGAAGAAGTATAATAAACCAATATACCGATATCTGGGAAGAAGGAGAAGAGCCTAGTGAACCTTTGTAGAGTAGATGCTGGAATGCGTGCTATATATGTCCTATAATTTCTATAGATCCCTGCCATCTAGTTTCAATGTTATCGATAGCTTTCCAGAACCTGACTATGTAGACACCTGATCTCATTCAAATTGAAAATTTAGGTATTTGTGGATTTAGTTATTCACTTTAATCATCATTAAAGTTTCAATTTCTTGAAATGCTATCATGTAACATTTTACGAGGAATTCTGACAAGGTAAAAGGTCGTATGTAGCTCTTCACTGGAACAAAAGCAATGTATGTGATCATGGTTATAAACAATACTGAAACTTGTATTTTGACTCCATTCTGTGAAAGGCAAACTTTTCTAATGAACCTTCAGATATTCCTTTGCAAATATGTGTAATAAACCGTTCATCGGAAGATGTCATGAGAAACTTCATTAGCGATTCCCTTCATTTTGTAGATGATCTACATATACGCCCCTCTGGCATTGAGGGGACGAACACATCTTTGACATGACATCTCTGAGATGTCGCTATGAGGCAACACTGCGATATTACGAATGTTCCATCGCTGCGACGTACAGAAGCGCAAACACATCTGCAACATGACATCTCTAAGATGTCATGATGAGACAACACTGCGATATTAAGAATGTTGCATCGTTGCATTGTCCACATGTGGACTTCGTATATCATAAATTAAAAAATTCGATATTTTCATTTATGTTGGGTGAAGAAGGATACATGAATATACGTTACTCAACAAAGTGAAGCTAATTCGCACACATTCGATGAATTGCTATCGAACTATTCTTGGTTTGATGAACATCTCGCCGACACAGTACACTACATAATTTTCGATACAAATACGAGTCACTGATCTCATCCTGATGAAGATGCGTATGTACTCAAAGGATAGTGCCACTGAAAAGACGATTGAATGGACAGGGGACCCAAGGAATCACCAACCAGTCACAACATTGCATAATCAATATCATTAGATGTCTGTGGTGTTATTATCACACCATGTTTGAGAAAACTTTTTTACGTTTTTTTACGTTATCTCGCATCACATGTTAGTTTTATCGCTGAGATGTCGCATGGATGTAACTTGAGAGGGACAAAATAACATCCCTCTGACATCGCAGCGACCTCTCTGTAATGTACCTACCTAGACCAATAATGGAATGTCTGTTTCCAAAGCAATGCATGTTATTATTTGAATCTATTCATTTGATTTCTTCATTCAACGCTAAAGACAAACAATAAGTTCGATATTATACCATTATGGAATTTGAATAAATGAATGATTTGGGCGGGAGTTCCTTGCCTTTTGATCCGTACCCCGCGCAGAGAGTACCCACAATCACCCGCTCTTCAACAAAAAACAACAATGATATTCCCAATAAGACCAAGAATTACAGTACCTCTAGACCAAAAATGGGATCTGTTTCCAAAGCAATAGGTAATGCATGTTATTGTTTAAACTATTCATTTGATTTCTCCCTTCAACACTATAAATACAAATAAGCTCGATATTATACCATTATGGGATTTGATTAAATGGTTGATGATCATTTGTTAAAGTATGAAAATCTGAATCTCAGACTCGAATCAAAAGAAGGTGTAAATAAGGTGCCCTATGCATTACAAAATGTAGGACATATGCTTTTTTATGTTCTAGTTCTCACGAAAAGGGATATCCTGTAATGTTCAGAGAACATCGTGAGAACCAAGGGAAATAAGGTGTTTTCTGATGATTTTCCCATTTTTTTTTTCAGAAGAACCGAATCAAATTTCGAAAAAGTAAGACGACAGGAACATAGATAAGAACTTCACGAATATGTACAAATTTTGTCTTTCACTCAAAATGAAAAATGACCCTCAAAAGTTAGGGACTACGAAACCCTCGCATCATTATAATTACACCTTCTTTACAAAAAAATTTCCAAAAATTGTAATATTGACATCGATCGTTTACCCACCGTTTTCAGAATATTCAAATATGTCAACCGTAGAAATTGATATTGAGAAGCATGGTTGATTCGAATATTGTTCTCTATTGAAGATGATACTGACGAAGGTACTTATAGTTTCAGTAAATGAGATCTATGTATTCGAATTTTCATTTACTCGCATACCACACAAAACTTATTACTATTTGCTAGCATAATTAGATAAATTATGAGTTAATATATTCTTATATATACTAGTACTCATTTTCGTGCTTAATTAATTTTTTCATTACCTACAAATAAAGGGAGTTTCATTTATCAAATTCAGCTTTTATCTCTGTGTTGATGTAGGTATTATTTAGGTATACTTCCTATACTTAGGTACCTATACCTACTCATTTTGGTTGTTCATTAATTTTTTGCGTTTATGGTGGTTTCATCACATTTTTCCGGTTTATTTAGTGCTATATATCCGCCTCATTTTCTACAATCAGAAGGAAGACGACTCGACTACTATACCCTCAAGTCGGCCTACATTACATTTTCTGCATATCATTAACGTTGACTGTGACGTGAATATACTTACTTCGTACTCTTTATTACTTCGCTAGTACCATATCTTTTGTCATTCATTATCACTAATCCAACATATTGGCGGCCTTACCCTTCTGCATCATCAATTACTGGCACAGATTGCATGCACTGGTACTATACAGACAGTCAACACTTTCTCAGACTTAAAACAGAACAACTGCCATCGCACTCGTGTTCTTTCACATTGTTCACAAGATCGCTTCCTACCAAAGTACTTCATACATAGACAAACTACACTAGATACTTCAATACTAAGTTGCGGTTCTGTCACTTGTTCACCTTCATTGCAAATGGTGTTTTGTGTCCCTTCTCTTCAATCACTCTTTCGAGGACGCTAATCTCTTCCTATAAGGCGACTTCACACTACACACCCTTGGAATTTTGAGGACTCCTGCTCACACTTACCTCAATCCAGACACGTCTATATACAAACCTTCAGCATCACAATGATCATCATTTCAACTTATGATACGAAACCTGAACTTTTACTGATATTAATGTAACAAATAGGTAGGTATACCTATCTATTTTCTTATCTTTTGGTTCGAAAGGGTGCCGAACCCCGAATGTGGGAACAGTATTCTAAAACGGGCCGAATCTGTGCTTTATAGATCATAAATAAAAGTTAATGGAGTGTGAGGTAGGTAGCTTTCCGCTCGGAATAAAAAGCAGAGTTTTTGTGAATCAAATATGGCGAGTTTTTTTGGCATTGAATTCATCGAGGTTATAGGTTGGATTTCTAGGCTGTCATTTTAAAAAGATCTTCATTGACAGCGATATATGGGTAAGTGAATCCTCAGTGTTGTTCCCTGATGGCGAAAGCCATATATGTCTATTCATGGTTCCTGATGAGTTTTCCAGTTGTTTGATGAGCCCAATGTTAACGGCGTTCTCCATCACTATGAAAATAACCGAGGAAATAACTGTTAACAGTGGGATGGATACTATTATCCAGCAAGTCGGTAGGATGGAAAATCATCCGACTTGTGCGAGTTAGTGAATAACTTATTGTTGATAACCATTCCGATATCTCTGGTGGTTCAGTGTTCACTCTTTCTTATAACATTGGGTGGAATTTCAATAGAAGTGTCAGCTATCTATTCGTTTTGAGGCCAAGCAGAATGCTTCATCTAATGATCCAGAATAAAATTCAAACCTCTTGATTAAAACTTGCCTAATTTTCATTCTTCATCCCCATTTTCTCAAGGTTTACCACTGAGAATTCAATTTTATATACATTGTCATAGTTGAGATGTTTACCTAACCATGAGGGAATTGCGAAATCATTGATTGATTGATTTATAGCAGAATGACCAGTCAGGGTTCAGAGCCCGAAACACTGCAGCCTTTGGGCCTATTGTATTCCTGATCATGCTGTTGACTCAGGTGAACAGGTTCGCTTCCTTGATGAGGTTTAGCAGCCTCTTCACCAAATCTTGCGTTGGGAAAATGTGAGTTTAGTGCTCCCAGAAGGTTGTATCTCCAGCGCGCTAGTACCTCGCACTCCAATATTACATGGATGGCCGTTTCCTCCTCCTCATTGCATAGTCTGCATATGGGTTCGTCTGTATGGATGCCCATTTGATGCATATGCTTCCTCATGGGGCAGTGACCGGTTATTAGTCCCGTCACTTGTCTGATCTGACTTCTGTTTAGGCTCAAAATGTCGGTCACTGTTCTGGACAGTGTTCCAACCATCAGTTTGCTGTGTCTTTGTCGAGGACCAGTTGTTCCAGTATGTCTTTCTTGCGTCCACCTTGGCAGCCAGCCGCGTATTGAGGTTTTGGGGATTCCGAACACAGTTTCCGGTCCAATAAATCTCGTCGCAGATAGGTACATATATGTGATATTGATATTGACGGCGAATCGTTCACTGCCTTTATTGTAGTATTTCAATAACTTGATTCAATCAACGCTATTATTGCCGTATTTTCCTTTGCCAATCATTGTTTTTGTGTATTGATAGCAATTTATACTGATTGTCCAGTATTTCCAGTATAATTAAAACACTTTCATCTACTAGACCTTAATACTCAGAATCAATCATTTTATGGTAGAGTATGCAAATTTGGTCATAGCTTCCATTCATCACAATTACCATAGTGCATAATACATTTACTGAAAGGGCGAAGTCCTTGTCCTCGGGAGTCTCATCATTTGTTACGTAGGTAAAGCAATTGAGATTGAATAATCATTTGTTCAAATCCATGGCATCGTTGAATGTGTAGGTACCTCATAGCTGATGAATCAGGAGTTCATTCCTCCCAAAGTACGGAGAGCTTCATACACTGGCCCTAAGACTTCAAACTGCTAATATAGTTGAAGACCACTGTTCCACATTACATTTCTCTTAACTTTTCCAAGTTTCAAAGTCGTGAATCTCACTATAATGATTTAATCAAAATTCAATAAGTTATTCAACCAATAAGCTCCATCTCCCTTATTTGAATCTTGATTTTTAAATTTCAGTAATGAAAAATAAGACACACTGCCATTATTCATTAAATAGTTCCAAATCAAGTGTACATCACACACACTTATCATTGTTTTTATTCCCAACCAATCATGGGGCTGCAAGAAACGTCCTTTTCCTCACCTCCACTGCAAATGTTTTTTGCAAAGTCTTTTGTTATAACTGATGTTTGAGAAGGATTCATTCTTCCTCAAGTTACAGGTATATTCATACTACGACAACTGGTCCTTCTTTCAACTACTTTAGTTGATGTTCCACTATACATTTCCTTCAACACTTCCAAGTGTCTTATTCCTGAATCTCACTTTGTGATTTTAATATCGATTTTCAAATTTTAGTTATGGAAAATGAAAAATACCATACTACATACTTCCATTCTCCTTTAAATAATTCACTGCCGTGGCCGAGTTTGTCTATGCGCCGAAATTCGATAGATAGCCGTTCACGATGCGAAGGTACTGTCGGTTCGAATCCGGCAATCGGCGGAGCTTTTTCTTTAAAATGTGTGATTCATGGTTGTAATCCTGGCAGCACCTCGATGCCCTAGAAGTGGTTCGGATTCCACTATAAGCTGTAGGTCCCGCTCTTCCTAACCCCGCAGAAGTTTCGACTTCTGGGGAGTTGGTTCCCAACTTTGAAGTAGCGATAGACAACCAAAATTGCCAAATATATTCTAAATCAATTGTACATCACACACACTTCAGACTCATCATAGTTTTCTCCTCTTCAGCATATCTATCATGATTTGTATTTTCTCTTTGCAATCATTTTTTCCATGTATTGATAGCAATTTCCTGATTGCCCAGTATTTCCAGTATGATTATAACATCGACTTCCCCTCGATTTGAACCTTAATTTGAACACTATCATGAACTCAGAACCGTTCATTTGATCAAAGCTTTCATATGTTATAATTATTATCATAGGGAATAAAAGTGCAAACTGTTGGTCCTGGATAGTTTCATTTGTTGCAGAAAGCATTATATATTCAATTCCTCGAAAGCAATGGCAACATATGCCTTAGCTGATGAGTGAGGAAAGTTGATTTCTCGAACAGCTTTATGCATCTGACCCTTAGACATCTATCAACTACTAATAGTTGATGACCAATCTTCCACATTACATTTCCCCTAACACTTCCAAATCTCATTTCTGAATCTCACTTTGTGATTTATTTTAAATTGTAGTAGTACAAAAAAACCATTTCTTGCACTTCCATTATCCATTATCACACACTTCACAGTTAACATAGTTTTTATTTCCAACCAATCAAGGAGCTTCATAAAATGTCCTTCTTCTCAACATGGCACATGTTTCTTGGCATGTCAATCTCTTTAGTGATCCACTGTTATTCTATTTCATCAACATAATTATTCAAATTCTTGTAAATCTGGATAGTATGGTGAAAATATTGATAAAAGCAAAACAATTAAGTCAGTCTATGACTTCTGTAATTCAAACATAACAAGGACAGAAACATTTACCCATTCAAAAGTAAATCAATAGAACACGATATTGAGAGTTTTCAACTCTAAACTGAATTTTACTAGACAAAACTAATTTCTGAATTGTTCAGGACATTCAGGAAGACTCAAACTTACAATAATAGCTGGCTTGAGATATGAAAATGTTCTTTGAAATCACTCAACATGTGTTCAATGAAAAAATTATTGTTTACTGACAGAAAAAAAGTACACAATAAGAACATAACATACCTATATTATTTGTCAGAGTTATTGTTCTAGTTCTGACATACAAAGAAAAAGCTAGGAAACACCTGGCATATCATCATTATTTGTCAAAAATAATTTGCTGGTAGGAATCTTAACTAGACAAAAACCTCTAAATTCACCTAGCCTCCCCCTATAAAAATCTAAATGAAAATGAAGATTGTTCATAGAAGTAGGTCCTGATATTGAACTTTTTTGAACTCCCATCTATGTAACTGTGCTCTTATCTATAAATCATGTTTCAAAATACAATTACCAATGAAATGAGATACTTATTCTTCACTGTTGACCACTAATGAATGCTGAAAACTCCATCTTGCATCATAGTAATTGTTGAACAAATAAGCCTTGAATCACTGGCACTATTTGACTAGCATCTCCTGAACTGTTTTTTCTATACTATCCTGTCCCCTCTCAACATTCATAATGAAGTCCACACAGCTCCCTCAATTCTTCAGTCTCTCTGTGGACATTTTGCAGCAATATGGCCCTTAAGTCTGCATTTGTAGCACAATGGTGCATGGCGACACTTTTCAGAAATATGTCCAAACTTTCCACAAGTATAGCATTTCTTTTTGACCAATGGATCAATCTTCCTCTGGAATTGTTGCAAAGGAAGTCCTTCAACAAATTCAGCTTCATCTTGAGATGAAGTTTTGATTTCTTCTATCTGAATCTCATAATTGGCCAGTTTAGACAAAAAATTAGAGTACAAACTCTCTGGGGTCAAATATTTGTTGGCTTTTGCTTCTTGTTGTAGATAACCATCATTCAATCCATCTATCAAGCAAGAAACTGCATTAGTTCCAGTAATTTTACATGCCTCCAATAAATATATCTTGCTGAAATAATATTGTGTTATGGATTCATCTGGACTCTTAACTCTATCAACAAGTAGATGAAGTGTTGTTGCAAAATCTATAGTATCTGGAAAAGTTCTGGTAATAAGCATTTTCAGTTCTGGCCAGGTGAAATCATAATTATCCAGAGTTTTATACCAAGCTTTGATGATACCATCCATTTTCTGTTCCATATACTTAATGCAAGATTTGTCATCAAGATTTTGATCCAGACAGCGTTCACTGATCTTATTTAACCACACAGATGTAGTAAAGAAAGGATTTTTGGGATTCAAATCTCCTGTAGATCCAGCTGGTCCTAGTTCCATGGGAACTGAAACATTTGACTTCTGTTGTTTGCTCTGCACCAGTACTTCTACCATTTTTTCCAAACGCTCCAACCTATCATCATTTGGGTTTCGTCTTTGTTCAACAGACAAATCTGATATAATGTGAGAAGTATCACGAAAATTGCAGACAGAAGGATCTACTGATTCTTCAATGTTGTTATGGGTATTTGGTTCAAAATTTAGATAGACATTTTCATGTTCATCTCTACTTTTTTGCATATCTCTTGATGAATGATTGAACCTATCTTTGTCGTTTCCAGATTGATATTCACCTTTGTGCTTTCTATCATGACGTTTGTTATCACTTTCCGAACGCTGTTTATACTTATCACTTTTGCTGCTACCTCTTCCAACAATGTTTGATCTATTGTGGTCATTACCAATGCTACAACTACTCAAAGAGCTGATGCTGAAGCTTCTGTCTCTTCCTCGTTCCCTTCTATCACTTCTATCATATCTGAGCGTCAAGGGGCTCCTACTTCGTTGCATAATCTCGACTTTATCAAGAACTTTACCAACAATAATAAGCAATTAAGCACTAGTTAAATCGAAATAATAATCTGGTAAAATAGAAGAGAACTCCGACTGAAAAAGTGACTATACGAAAAGTGATTATGAATATAGGATTAGGAAATATGATTAGGAATAATATGTGATATAAAATTTAATAAATAATCTTGATAGCCATTAGCGATAGCGTGACGCGTAACTTTGTAAAAGATGATCACGTCAATCACGTGATTCGTGTTCGTGATCAAGATCAACTGATCAAGAGATCAAGGCACATCGTCATCACATCGTGATCAAGGATCAAGGTGGGTCTGTTCGTAAACCCTACTAAAAGTGCAGTGTAATGTAGAAACAGTAGTGTAGTGTGGTGTACAGTGTAAAAAGTGCAGTGTAGAGGAAGTGTAAAGTGTGAAAGTGTAATAGCTGAATTCGTCGTTCGTTAACCTTACCGTTAAATCTTGTGGATTGGGTTTTGAAGTTGCATATGTTCTCAACTTGAATATGTGTGTGTAACTATCATCATGGTCCCAAATATTTTCGATGCTCGAATGTGGGACATATTTCTCTTCATCTCTTCTTGGTTATCTGAAGCAATCAAACAGTAGTCAACATATCATCTTCATTGGGTACCTACCGATACTTACCTTGATAACCATGAATTATTATCCAAATTTATTGAAGACAGGTTCACTGGTAGGTAGTATTTTTATGATGAGAAAACTTGTGGATTATCTGATTTTAGTAGGTTCAATGTCTCATCTCGCACATATATACTAAATAATCCACAAGAAATGATGCTGAAGCAAATTTAAACACTATAGAGTAGGTAGTAAGATTTCTGATGATGGGGCTGAAGTGAATATTATGATAAAAAAAAATCGAATCAAAAATATTGAGGACACTGTATTGTTGTTGTGCTCTAAGCTATGAGGTAGTTCTTCGCTGGTCCTCCTCGTCTAAATATATTCTATATACTGTACGTTTTCGTTTCCTAGGGTTTTCCCAGATAAACATTCCACTCATTGTTTTGTATTTGATACGGTTAAACAGATACACCAGCTATTAATGATGAAGGGAAATTCGTTAATTTAATTGCTGGTTTCTACTAACATCTGATAAATAATACTATCCTTTTCAAGAAAACCAAAAATAATCATATCAGAAGACAAACATCACTCTAGGTGCGACTACAGTGCGGCTTCTCCTTGTTGTCAGAAATGCCAGAATTGCTTTGTCAATCGAAAAGTTTAAGCAGATTGATGATACATTTGATTCCGCTGCTCCACATAAAATGGAATCATCTACCTTTTGTAGTTTTTCTGTGAGCACTGCCAGCAACAGTCTTGAATAAAGATGTTTTCTTCCTTGTCAATGAGAATGTCGGCAAGAGTGACTTAGCATTGAATTGCCGATTACCAAGTTAGTATTTTTCATCATAACTGTTTCAATAAATACCTCCTAGCGTACTAGGTCGTCTACTAAGTTTCTATTAAGATGGCATCAATGCCTGCACTTCTGAATAGCTTTCTTATAACTTTTAGGTGATTTTGAATTTTTGCTAAATGCTATTTTGTAGCGAAGTACTTCTGTATCTCAATCATCATTTCGGAAATTATTGCGATAAATTTCCATGAGATTCAAAATTATTCAAAATTTCAAATATTTCCCACTTGAATATTTGAGGTTATCTTTATCGCACCGTCGCACAAGCACGGTTCTGAAAGCTACGACTTTGAGCGAGCAACGAACAAGTTTGAAAGCCAGTGGAAATCATTTCTCGGCAAAAGTTCGCTCTTGAAATTCTCAGTGAACCACGCAAAATGCGCTCAGTGTCGAAAATGTTCGAGCTAATGCGACGAGTGGAAAACGCTATGAAGTGAGATGTTTGTAAGTTGACTCTAGGCATCTTACCTATAAGTAATGAGTGAGATGTTTATGAGCCATTTTTCCTTGAAGTTAACCACACGAAGCGGGTCAACAATAAGTTAGCCAGTCAATTTTCCTCGAAATGTATTCCAAACCATAACGTAATGGTTAAACAACCACACAATAAACCAGGGGCTTTTGATTGGGCACTGGTTTGGGCTCTTGTTGTTGTTATAAGCTGAGGTTATATAAGTGATATTCTCTCATTCTGAACTAACTGACACATTTCACTTGAACTGAACTGAATCAGTTGACATGCATTTTACATGATGGTACGTCGCCAATTACACGAATAGGAAAGTGTTACACTTTTACACTTTTCATTCAAACGAAAAGACCTCATTGGTTGTTGACGTTTTGTCAATTCTTGTTTTTTGTAGGGTTATGTTGTTGTTTAATGTTTATTGTTTTACTTGTGATGTTTATAACTATTTACTATTATTTTGTTAGATGACCTACCTGCGAATCCAAAACACAATCCAAAAAGGATAGAAGTGAAATTTTCACAATGTCATTATTATTTTTAGAAGAGGATCCTTGGTAGGTAGACATGCCCATAGAGATAATTATTTATACATCTTTTAGCCCACCCTTTACAGACAGGCTTTTTGCGATTTTGCAATTAATTTATAGACAAACCTTATCACTTCCATCACTTCTTTCCATAATATATTGTTTAAATCGCCTAATCCACCATTTTCAACATTCATCCTTCTCATCTACAGGTTATTGGAATATGAATCATGTGAGAAATTATATAGGGATATCATGGAACAGCTCACAATACGTCAGAAATATTCAAGAACTAGTGATAAATATGCTCAGTTATCTGCCAACATTAGATTACGCCTGAAACAATTCAACAATGAAGTAGACCAGCTAAATAAAAAGTTAGATGTATCAGCCAAGTCTGGAAATATGTATCCTTCAGTAAAACAAATTATAATTTCAACACTTTATAGTAAGAGGCATCATCAGGAACTATAATTTTCTTAGCAAATATCTAGAACACCTGCAGAAACAGAGAGAAGGACAAGACAACTGGAGCAACTGCGGACCAAGGAAGTACAAGTGCAAAAGGTTTTCCATGATCAAGTTGTTGATAAAATGAAAGAAGATCGTAGGGACCTTATTGGTGCAAGCAGCTCATATCTAGATGTTAATACAAATGCTTCCATAGATGAATTGAAAGCCAGCCAGAAAAAAATCATCAAAGGTAATATTCATAAGTAATAGTTTGTCTGAATGTTTTTGATGGGATCATTGGACCTTTGAATGAAGAGGAATGGAAAGTGGTTATCTTCATGGTTTGTTGTTAAGTATGAGTCTGGAAGATGCCTAGAAACCTTTACTTTCTGAATTCTCAATATTCAAATGTTTTATTCACCTTACTCAAGTAGATCTACCTGGAAATCTACTGTTTGGAGGAATCAATTTAATAAATCAGCTGACACATGACAGCTGGGAAATGATTTTTTCATTATTTATGTTTCAAGATGCCTATTGTAAGTTTGTTTACAAATATGCAAATATCTCAGTTGACTACATCATAGATTGGCCATACTTATATATTTCTTCTTTAGTGTAGCCTCTGACTCTTGTAAATCATCTAGTCACCTCAAAAATTAACTGGACAGTGAAACATATTTCTTCTCATGCTTGCAATATGTATAATGCTCAAAGTTGAATTTGAATATACATTCATATTACAGAATCATTAGTGATGAATAAACATTCAAGTTTAAAGAAGCAATGTACATAATCAGATGAAAGATTTTGGCCTAATTTGTAGCTGTTCCATTTTATGCAGGCTAGTGTATTTTGTACATATATTAATTATTCCAGAATTATGTCATTTGACAGGTCCCTGGAGGGCAAACATTGAATGTTGTCAAGATTTGTCATATGAAACCAGAATTAGTGCTGTTGAACAAATGAGACACAAAAAACACGTTGTGGGCTCTTGATCTATTATTCATTATTCCATAAATATGCATCAATTAATTGCTGAATTCATATTTTGTAGAAATTGTACTCTTTCCTTTGATTTTTTTTTTATTCTGTTCCTACATGGATCAGACCATCATGTTGAACGCAAGATGAAATTTGGTTGCTTTTTTGCAGAGCAAAATGAAGGCCTTGAAAATTTATCACAAATAATTTTGAGGCAAAAGGACATAGCACATACTATCTCCACTGAAGTGGATTTCCACAATGGTGAGTTGCAATAGAATAGAATTGAAAATCACATTTTCAGGAAATTCGAAGGTTTCTTACTATTATTACACAATTTTACTTTTTCAGAGATTTTAGATGACCTTGGGACGAATATGGAGAGAACTGACCAGTCAGTGAGGGCTCAAACTCAGTATATCGGTGTTGTGGACAGAAAAGATAATACCTGTATTTATTGGGTAATAATTATACTATTGTTCGTTTGTATAGTGGTAGTGGCTTGTTTATAGCATCAACTTGACTTTATATTTTCAATTCCTAATCTAAGTTGTATATTCACTGATTCGATTTTAACGTAATTATTATATTATATTGAATTATATGGTCATTCATTTTTTTTCAAATATTCCATACCAAATCATATTGAATACCTTCTACCTTGAATACGGATCCCAATAGCTTTGTATTGTTCTACCTATTCTAGTAACGAAGCCCCCTTTTTTTGAAACACCAATTATAAATATTTTGATTTTGAAGCCCGTGACCCCCCCCCCTTCACGCGAGATCTTGATCCGCCCTTGATTGTGAAAATGTGGCTGCTGCAGTGATTGCTTGTTTTTGTTTGAATATTTGATTTGAAACATCACAATAGGTACTCAATCAAACTCAATCCAAATCAGCAAACGATTGTAAGTTGAAAACTGGGTATGCAAATAAAACTGTAAGGTAATAATATTATATTTATTTAGTTTGCACACCTGCACATATTCTATACGTACTGATATACAATCACCATACAAACAACATTATGTAAGGTCTGAATCACATTAATAAATACTTATTTTTATGCATGAATATATTTTTATTTCAATTCGTCCAAGTAAGGAACTTTGCTAAGATTTCCAATCGACGCAAGTGTGATTTTTCGACCAACTTTCTTGAGAGCCTGCAACATGAGAATAATAATTCAATCTCATTTTGATGAGTTTTTTAGAGTAAATATATAGTATAATATTATATGATAGTATATGAAATGAGGGAGTATGGCCTTCTGTTTAATAATGAATTTTTTTTATCAAAATTTAGTGCAAAACTTATTCACCTTCTAACAAAGATATAGTAGAGTCCGACCACGTTAACTGGGACACCTCGTGACTCAGCGTATATGCATTTTTAAATCATTTAATGCATACGCAACCACATGCTGTCCCAAAGTTGACTTGGTCGGACTAAACAGATTGATCTACCTAAGACTGCAAATAATCAATCTTTCATTTGAGAAAGTGTCAGTATGATAATATGACAGCAGTCCGATGAAATTTGTGATAACTATTTGTATAAAAACCTCCAAAGTGATCCTAAATGACTACAAAATCTGATGTTTTATTTTGCAGGAATATTGCCATATAAAGACATATGAGAGAATGAGATGAAAAATTTCCTGCCAGAAATACTTTATTTCTTTTCATCATTATTATTTTTCTCAAATTCACATTATTTCATCTCATTTGGGTAGAGACACAGCCCACTGAATAATTTCTGTGTAAACTTCAGTAAATCACCCTGTACACATATGAGGTTTGCTTTTCTTCAATAGAGCAGATAAGCGTGGTTCAGCTACCGTTAAGAGGGAGAAAATATGTCTTCCCCATCTGTCCTTGTCTTCCTTGTAAAATAGTGAGAAATTTTATGTTGGAATTGGAAATGAGAAGAAGGCTATTCTAAACATTTTCATAATTTTATGTTGGAACACTGAAGTCAAGGACAGTAGTTGTGGAAGAGATATATATTTTCTGTCTGTCAAAGTTAGCTGAACTTCTCTATAGATTACTTCCATACTATATGTAAGTTGATCGAGGAAGTGGTAAATTCATTTTTCTAGAGAAAATCCCAAAAAATCTCGAAAAATGGAGATTACTTACACTTTGAACATCACTAGTAGAAACTGAATCGACAGCAGCTGCTATTTGACTGGCGGTCTGAGGTGCTCCAGTTGTTGCTGCTTGTGATCCAATATTCAAAATTGCACTCGATCCACTCTCGGCGTCCATCAACAAGGATGTTACCAGCTGTTTCTTACCTAAACAAAGGGAATGAGTGGTTCATAATAAGAATGATAAGGGGTTTATTTTCAAAATATCCAATGACAACAATTTATTTAGTTATCTATTGTCAAACTACATTACATAAATGTTGAAAATGAAGGAAAATAACATTAACCCCCTATAACGCCTTGCAGTCAAAAATCATCCCTTTTAACGGTTTGTAACTTCTCCTTCCCCAATTTTTGATATGACATTTGAGGAAATGAGGAAGTTTCCTTCAGATTACTTTTCATAAAAGAAGTCCGGAACCTCATTTTTATGTCCACGCTGTACAGAATGGCGATCAATAAGTCCAAGTCGTTTTAATCTTTGAAATAAGCAATTTTAAATTTCCAGGGCGGCAAACTATGACGTAAATTTAATCTGGTCTGAATTTAGCTAATGATGAAGAATATAGCTACCGAATAGCTAACGAAAGAAAAACGAATAAAAAAATCTAAGATGATAACTTGGCGTCGTTGTTGATGATTATATCATGAAAAATAGCAAGTTGTGCTTTGCTAATTCCTTTCACACGCAAAGAAATATTATACAGACATAAATACCGCTAGCTACTGAATAGATTTTCTGGCTTTATTGCTCTCATGAGAATGGTTCATCTTGTTAATGTAACTGTAAATAATCAAGTGTATGACCACAGTAGAGTGGTAAAGATCCAGTAGTCGCACCATTGATGTTCGTTACCCCGTTGTTTACTGCGCAACCATAATTTCATACCACGCGCACCAGGCTGCCTATTTTATCACGACTTCAACACTTGGACACAAAATATCAGACATGAAGTTCAATAAATCGGTACCTTGGATAATTCCAATTTTTTTTCGGTTGATAAAATCAAATTTTCGAAATTTTGGACGCAAAAGTACCGTCAGGATTAAATTGTATAAAAATGTAACGTATTTATTCAAATGTATGAAAAGGCACATCATGTTACATATAAGGCAACAAAGCTATTGCAAGCACAACATATAAAAAAATATATTGAACATTCATTTATAATTCGATGGTATTCCATGAAACAATTTTTTACTACTAGCGTGAGAAAAAGTCCACTTTTCAAGACTCATTTTCATGTTGAAAGTCACTTTTTCGCACTACACTTTTTCGCTCTAGTGCGGAAAAGAGGAATTTGGGTTTTTTCCGCACGCTAGTAGTAAATTAGTGAAGCTGACACGTGCATTAAGTGACTTTTCGCACTTGTTAGGTATTTGCTGTAACCCAATCAGAGCGCCTAGGTTTCCGAGCATTTTGGCTATTGGAGTTCTTTTAGCGTATTTTCGAATTGGTCATTGATGTTATCGTCGTCATCTTCTTCTAAATCAGTCAAAATTCTATCATTTAGGGGTAAATCTTCTGATAGAATATTATCCGCAAGTTCAAGCAACTCATTAATGGCCAGGGTTGAATCGTACAGCCATTTGATTTTCCGCTGGATCATTGTGTTTTTAGTTCCTGCCGGTACTTTCGGGTCAGATGGAAAAAACGTTATATTTTCACAAAAATAATTGCGATTTGCAGTGACTAATTATTTCCTTCTAATGATGAAGTATAATGTGATTGTTTTTGATGATCACCATGAGTATGGAACGATTTTATTGAGAATAAACGTATCAACAATTCGCAGGAAACACCTTTTTATGACACATTGTGAATAACTGCCCGAACTGCGGAAATGGCCGACGATCGGATACTCATGAATGAATTATTTCATTGGTGGTTATAAGTGTACTCTTGCGTACCGTCAGGACTGAATCTGCTCCAAACGATATAATCTATTTCAAAATGAAGACAGAAATGGAAGGAACTCAAAAGTACCGTCAGGCACAAGGCCCGGTTTCACCAACGGATTTAATCTCCGTTTTGGAGTTAACTGACGAATTTAATCGCCATGAAGAATTCAAATCGTTTCACCATACCAGAATCACCGATTAACTCGATTAATCCAGATTATTTCTCAACTGGCAATTTTTCACCAGTTACGGATATAATCGCGCGTTATCTGTCATGTATAATGAAAAGCAAGGTTATGCATTTTATGGATGGCATCTGATTATGGTATGGTTATTATGGTTTTGAGATTATGAGATTTATTTCAATATAGGTATTAGATAATGGCAGCTCTATATCGGTCATATGATGATCTTGCTTCCGAAGACTACGAAGATAATCAATTTTTCGGTGCGGCGTTCCCGTTGGATACGAGAGAGAGAGATTACTTTTTCAGTTCGCTTGTTTTAATCTTTCAATAATGTTGAATCGAGCTTCAACCATGTCCACGAAATGAGTTTTTTCAGCAATACTGAAATTCGTCTCTTTCTTTTTTCTCTCTCGTTTTTCTCAATCGAAATCTTTTTTATTAATTTGTTTTGTTCACTATAGTGAAAAAAACTCAACTTTAGAGGTTTTCATAATACGTCGTCAGAGCACACACAGAACGACAAATTTCTAGTCATTCATGGCCATTCTACACTGTTGCCTTGTTAATTCTAAGCTATAATTACGGTTAGCTAAACGTGCCCTTGGAAAGATGACAAAGAGTTGAAGAAACGGCTACGACGATAATCGAGATTAAATCCTTGGTTTCACACGAACGTAGCTTACCTGGAGAATATGTCATTAGAAAAATTTCTAAAAAAATGTACTTTTTTTCAAGAATTGCAAAAGCACCGTCCATGTTTGCTAGAGTAACAATTTACAATTCTATTATTAAACCTGACTTTGACTATTGTGCAACAGTAATTTACTTATTTAACCAAAATCGAATTTCCCAACTGCAAAAGCTTCAAAATAGAGGAATGAGACTAATACTGAAATGTAATAGATATACTCCAATTAAACTGATGCTAGATACTTTGCAATGGTTTTCAGTTAATACTCGTTTATTTTACATGACTATGACCTTTATTTATAAATTGAAGAAAGGCCTACTTCCTTCCTATTTCAATGAATTCATAACAAGAAATGATGAAATTCATAACTATGGCACACGAATGAGGACTGACTTTCATATTCACAGAACAAATTCCAGTATGAGCATGAGATCTCTATTTTTCAAAGGGTTGAATGAATTCAACAAACTACCTATGCATATAAAATCATCAGTATCTTTATCTTCTTTCAAATCATCATTATCGAAGTATGTTAAAACTCTATGAATGTTGGACGGGTGGGTATTGTATGGAAATGTTTATAACTTATTATCCTATATTCAATAATTGTTTCTTCACTTGATATTGTCCTCAACCTGTATTAAGTTTTTTGTATTATTAGCTTGATTGTTTAGTTATCTGTTGACTTTATGTTACATTTTCTTTTTTGTTTTTAGTATTATTGTTAATGGTTTTTAAATATGTGTCTTGTATAACTATGAATTGCTATTGTGAATTTTATACATATATATGTGTGATGTTAAATGTTTTATGGATGCTCGAGATGTTTGTATATTAGGCTTTCCTATTTTTCAATAAACTACTACTACTACTACTACCTGAACTGAGATTATATCACCGCTGGTGAAACCAGGCCTAAAGGGTTAACTGTGGTATGACTCACCTCGGTTGACGTCCTCGTCAGAAACGCTGCCGCTCCTCAGCAGCCGCGCGGCCGCCTCGACCAGCCGGCCGGCCGTGGCCGCGGGCGCCGCGATCAGCACGCCGAACAGGCCGACGTCCGAATAGCTGACGTTGACGGCCGTCGAGGCGTAGTCCGCGCACGCGCCGCCCACCGCCCGGCTGAAGGCGCCGTTGTCGCTGGTGGCCCACTTGATCTGCGGCCCGACGCCGATGGCCCTTTGCAGGACGGCGAATGCTAGGGCTTCTTTGGGGCACTTTGAAGAGGCGCCCTCGCCGGCTACGGCGACGTACGCCATGTCGCCGCCCTTGTTCGATCTGAAAACATTAGGAATCTTTTTTTTTATATATACCGGGTGTTCCATTAAGCCTATCGACCGGCTTTATCTCAGAAACTATTGGTCCCACAGTTTTAGGAAAAAAACTATCTTGTGTAAAGCAGTCAAGAAAAATTCAACTTAAATATTTTTTTAAGTTCCTAAAATGACCGCTAGGTGGCGTAATACAGATTGAAAATTTAAACTCATTTTTCTTGAAAAAGTCAAATACAAACGTAGGTATTTTTTATGTATTCTGCATCTCCTAGTCAATACCTAAAACTTTTGTATAACACTTTTTTCTGCAACCGACACAAAAGTCGTCTATTTTGATACCAAAATTAGCTCTTGAATTGACGTTTCTATTACTGACACAAAAATAGGTATGTTGCTAGGCAGCATATTTAGTTCCTAGGAGCTAAAGTTGAATTTTAGTTCTTAGGAGCTAAAGTTGAACTTTAGCTCCTAGGAACTAAAAAGGATGTACTGGACGTCATCAAGAATAAACAACATTGTGACGGTTAGTTATTTGGGTTGAGACGCATACCTGATTTGTTTCCGATTTCAGCAGATTTGGCATTTCATACCCATGCTGAAGATATAAATACACCTTATTATAGTTTATTATTGTAATTATAAACATCTCATTCAAATATTTTTGTTTTGATCAGGGAAGCCTTCAAGATTCAAATTCTTGCTTGATCTGTATTTCATTCGTTATTCTCGGGATGGATAACTTGTTTTTGAATAATCACGGCAAGCAATAGTTTTTTGTCTCAAACGATATTGTTTAGCTTCATTTGATAATCAAGTCAAACACAGTGTAGTATGGAGAATAAATAATCACTATTATCATTGTTGATATGCTCACTAGAGCACCTGGTCCATACACAAATATGTCACTCTGTGATTGTATTTATATTGAAACTACAATTCGAACATCCTAAAAAACCTAACTTGCTGTTAATGCAGGTAGAATATTCTCACCACATGGATTATTTGTCAATATTTGTTGCATTGCATACATATGGCACGGCATTGGTGGTTACTTCACATGTTTATTTGAGTTAATTGTTTCGGTTGCAGAAAAAATAGCATGTTTCATTCGGATCAAAAGTGACTTTGTTCGACTCGCTTTTTTTTTGCTTTCGCTCGGCTTCGCTAATCGCTCCGCCTCGCAAATGCGAAATTCGCTTGTCAAACAAAGTGTCACTTTTGATCCTAATAAAACAATCTACTATTTGTTCTAACTCTTCAAACAACGACAACAACAAAAAAGAAAAACGGTATACAAAAATCACCATAACTTCGGTTTGTCTTATCCGATTTAAATAAACGTTTGATCATTTGATAGGTAATTTGAGGTAGAAAAAGAATACGATTTTAAATATTCTGGCAAATTCCTCAACAAACCAGATGTCGCTTTTCGTAATTGTTACCAATTATTGATGATTTCTTGAAAAATGTAAATGTAATGACATATTTTTTAATAAAGTGTCATATTCTGCAATAGATTTGGAAAAGAATGCCGCAAACCGGAAGTCTCTAGTGTTTTTTAAACAAAAGTTATGAATAAAAGTGTGTTTCTAAGATTACGAGCGTAATGAATGCATATTTACAAAATAATTGGCAAAACTGTCAAGAGATGATGATATCTGTCAACATTTTGCCGTTGAGCCATTCTTATGCTAAGATTTTAGTGTTTAATTATCAAAAAACCTTTTTTTTTTGTAAAATAATGTCTTACACTGTTGCAGAAGCATATGATATGTTTGCAATATTTTTTCGAAGTTTCGAAAATCCAGTGATTGCCTCGCGAGAATACAGTTTGGTAGGCAACATTCCCGAATGTAACCTCTAGAATAGTATCTGACGATCAGGCGCTATTAGGGAAATTGAAAAGACAAAGAGCAGAATATATGTCTTTTTCTTCTAATCACTCAAGCATTGTTATTTAGAAAATAGAAAAGGACAGAAGTTCAGCTGTGTCCGAACTCTTCAAGGTTGGTAGAACTGAGGATTATTTAATTATCATCAGTTCTACCAACCTTGCTAACTCTTATCTACTAATACCATCCAGTGACTCTAATCCCTACTAAATTTAAATTTAAATTTTGGCGTTTAGGATTGTTCGAGACGTTGGCATATACTTTTTATGAATGAGTTACGGCGTCTACCTATTCTTATTTAGTCTGAGGTGTATATTGATTAAACATATTGTATTCATCAGGAACAATGATGAAGTGTGATTTTGAACTCGGTGCAACTGGAGGGTATCGACGAATTATTAATCATTCCAGAATTACGTCATTTGACAGGTTGCTGAGGGGAAAACATTGTATCTTGTCAAGATTTGCCATATAAAACCAGAATTAGTGGTATCGTTTTCCTTGGAATCCGAGTTGGAACCAGAAAGAATTTCATAATTTTGTTTGGTTTGGATGTGGCAGGGACGGCCAGAGCAATGCTCATCAAAGGTAACCTAACAGATAGTTTGTGTGCCCCTCAAGAAACCATGTCAAAATCACGTGGTCTAGAATGATCAATAGGCAGATTAGGTTAGCCTCGATACGGCGCCTGATGCAGTGATGCACAACGAATAGAATCGATAAAATTATGCGAACTTGATAGTTTCATTTTGTGATTTTTCAGTGATTCTTCTGCAGAAAACATCACATTCTGAGAATTTCTGTGGAACCGCTGCCAAATCGACCGTATTTAACTTAAATAGCTTAAGAACAACAACCTTTTTATAACATAATAATGCACCCATAACAACATAATTGTCAGAAATTCACTATTATTAATTATGAACGCATCAGTAATTGTAAGGTACAGGGTCATTCCGTACATTTAAACAGCTTCTACAGGGTTCAACATTGAAGATAGAAAAAACTTCAAGTTCAAAAGTTGTAAGGTTTTTTCTGAACCTTCAGAAAATTGTACGAGGGGAAACAAATGAATATCGCTGATATAAGAAATGGGTACCGATTTCGTTATTATATATATTTTTCGAAATATTTGAGGATCTTTCTTTTCTGACTTCAAAAATGTATACGTTGTTGATATTCGGTTCAGCCGTTTATGCAATATTATAGGTCGAACATTCTAGAATTGGTTATAGTTTTATTTCACCAAATTGCAATTGCCATGGAGTTTCAACAACACATATGCAGGTTGTCAATAATCAAACTCTGTAATATTTTCTTTGCGTATGTGTTGTTGATTCTTCATGGAATCTGTTGTTAACCTCGAAAATTTTGAAAATAACAGAATCTAATGATGATGATGATGATGATGATGATTGTGAACACAGGCTTTTTATAACATTTGTTTGACTCCACACAGCTTTGAATAATACACCATATTATTATACAGCCTCTCGCCCTCTTTCAAAGATATCTTCAGTCTTCTTGTCAACACGTTTTAAACTATATAAAGTCTAAAATTCGCGAATCTTTGAATTCAAATTCAATGCCGAAATCTACAATCACACGGCGGGGAAACAGTGACGTCACAGATCGTTCCCCCTCTCCGCGCACCCCCGCACCCTAATGCTATACTATGAGGTAACCTTATAGAAGTTAATAGACCTTGCATGGTGGGCCCACGGCCGAAAACACCCGGCAGTCGACCGGTACCAGGGCCTACTCTATCTCACCGAGTAGGCCCTGCCCGAGGCTATTCAACTCTATAAGGTTGCCTCATATTGACCTGGCCTGACGTCACTGTTTCCCCATCGTCTTTTGTCGAACGGCAAAATGAAAATGGCGGAGGTGAAAAACAAAACAAAATAATTTAGCATTGTGCAATCAAGTGAATATTGATAAATTTTGAAATTTTCCATCCAAGAGATTGTTCACTGTTTTCCCAAAACATGCAGCAAGTACAAAAGACTGAAAACAGAAATCTAGAAAGATATGTTATGTTCCTCAGTGCTTCTGTTGTACAGACACATTACAGAAACTCAGTCAAATTCTTATTGCAATACCACTCCATTAGGACTGATTACTGTTGGCATTAATAAGGATATGGAGGTTGAGCTACTGATAAAGCATTTTTTAATAAAGAAAATGTTATTGGGAAGTCTGAACCTAATGATGAAATCATGGTGGATAAGGGCATGCTGACAAGGGATGTGAAGAAATATCTTGAAATTGATTAGGCCATCATTTCTGAGAAACAAGAAACAATTAACTAAAGAGGATTTCCTTCTGGATAAATTGAATGATTCTAACTCAATGGTTTTATTTCAGTATCAATTTGTAACATATTATTGTTTGAAAATGCAATAATGAGAAAATGAATTAATAAAGAAGTCATCACAATTCATTCCATTTTATTAATGCAATAAAAGTGCAACATAATGGAAATATCTTTGAGATATCTTCCTCATAACATTAACACAAAATGTATCACAAAAAAAACTGGAATCTTTATGTAAGTTTTGAAGGAAGAAGAATCATACAAGAAAATCAGTTTCTTTCAAGTTCATTAGGGACATTTTAGGGCCATTATTCCCAACTGAATTTATCCATAATAAGTGTGTCTCTCTTCCAACTTCACATTTTTTATACCATCTCCTATCAAGAAATGGCATTGTTCCACAAAATGTTCTGAACCTTTACCTAAAATTTTGAGAAAATAATTCAAGCTGAATGTAATACACATTATTTAACAAACCTCTATGTAAGGACCTCAGTAAGGACACTTATTTCAATTATTTCCATGGTCTTCCTTCCTGAAAAATAATTTCATATGGAGAAAATCCTAACCATGGAAAATATTGGGACACAAATTTGTTTGCATGATTTGAAATTCAATATCATTTTCAATGAACATTTTGAAAGAACTTTGGATTCATATTCAACTCCATGCTGAACAAATTTATTTGAAAAATCCTTTGGAAAGAAGAAGGTGATTGCCTTTTTTCCCAAGACTCCTTGCTACATGTAAAAATGAAGTAGCAAGTATATAAGTAAAATTTAATAAACTCACCAGTGTTCCTGAGTACCATGCAATAGCTAGTTGTTTACATTGAGTTCATTGGCTTCCAAACAAAAAACAAAATAGACTGATATACCCTGTAAAACTAACTTCAATTATATAAAGGGAGAATGATTTTAGGGGGTCACTTTCCTTCTTTTAATAAGCGGGTAGCAGAACTATTGAAATGGTTTGGCTGTATAATAGATCATTGATTGATCTACCCTCTTTTTTCAATTTTCACCACTTCTGTTTGTTATATATGCAGCTTCACATATTCCAAGTCTTCATTCCTGAAATTTGATGTATTTTTTACCTGTGTGTGTGATAGATCAAAAGTGCACCTTCCTACCTGTCAATATTATAAGTCCCTATAAAATGTGTATACAAAACCCTGACATGCCTGCTTCACAATTATCTGAATCTCATGTGGAGGCTGCCAAACAGCCATTTCATAACATTTGTTTGTTCTATATCCACTCTTGACTCCACACATAATAATATTATGATATTTATGATGTGACCAACCTTGAATACTACTACACCATATTATTATACAACCTCTCACACTCTTTCAAAGATATCTTCAGTCTTCTTGTCACCATGTTTTCAACTAAAGTCTTAAATTCGCGATTCTTTCGAATTCAAATTCAAAATTTTTTTCAATTCATTTGACAGTGACACCAAACGAAATCAACAATCACGTGGCGGGGAAACAGTGACGTCACGCCCCTCCGCGCACCCCCGCACCATAATGCTATACTATGAGGTAACCTTATAGAAGTTAATAGACCTTGGGCCCTGCCGGCGCCGGTGTCTATGAATGGCGCTATTACTCCATGTACAACACTGCACTATTGAAAACACGTCCGGCCGGTCGCAACCGGTGTGTCTGAAAAGCGCCGCTAACCTCAAATAATGTTTCATTTCAAACAACGCACTCACCTGAGTTCCCCACCTTTGTAAGGGGAAGCCACCGCCGATCCTTCGCCGGATTCGATCTGCAGCGATTGAGCGTATTGCGTCAGCTCATTATGGTTGACGCCCAAGCCCACTACGGCCGCCCGTCCCGACAGGAAATTGCTGGCGACATAGTGCTGCAAGGTTTCGCTCGATGTCCTGCCGATTTTCGATTTTGGAATGAAAAGCGAGTTACCTAGACCGGTACGGAAAGCGGCATTGTGTAGCAAATCGATTGCCCTCAACTGTAAAATTAACATTTGAAAAGTACAACGATGATAAAAACTCAAAATGAAACAATTTTCTAAGAGTCAGTGAAACGCTTCAAAGTCAGTTCCATTAAATATAAAATGAATAATTAATTGAAGTTACTAGAGGTTCAACCAGAGGGAATAAGAAGGAAAGAAGAGAAAATTAATGGGATTTGGAGGACTTTTGGGAAATGCGGTTTGCAACAGAGTGCTGCAGAGTCTCGCTCGATATCCTGCCGATTTTTGATTTCGGAATGAAAAGCGAATTAGCCAGAACGGTACGAAAAGCGGCATTGTGCAACAAATCGATTGCTCTCAACTGTAAATAGTTATTTATTATACAAGGGAAAAAAGTAGTAGATTTTAGCTCCAGGTTGTGTTGTCTCCCGACGCGTAGCGGAGGGAGACAAAAAACCGTGTATAATACACTATTTTTTTCTGTGACAGAAGGAAGGACGGATCAATATTGAGAAGATAGTACATTATTTCGAAATCTGAAAATTATCGACATGGAATTTCAAGTTTTCAACAGTAGGGACACCTGCGTTTTATAGGCATCTTTATCATTCTTTTGAAGTAATCAAATATCTGATGTCACTTCTGTCAGTTCAATTCTGTGATTTGATTTTAAAAAATTGCGAATTCAGTAGTTGTTTAGTAATATACGAAACCGCGAAGTCGAATGGAAGATAAAAGGACTTGCAGTTCTTTCTCGGAGACGGTATTATTGACTCATTTTTCGGAACTATAGCACAACAAAAGCCATTAACAGAGTATATATATGTGATATATATCTGGGAAAAAAGTACTCACTTTTTTCCCACGGGAAAAAAGTAATTTATGAAAAGTGACATTTTATAACCTGCCAACAGAGATGAAATGCCAAACTTTTTTCCCGTCACAGAAAAAAATATCATTTAAAAAGTACCACGATGATAAAAACTCAAAATGGAACAATCTTCCAACAGTCAGAGAAACGCTTCAAAGTCAGTTCCATAAAATGACCAATGAATTAAAGGAGTTAAAGTTTATGCAAAGTCAGTGGAACAAATCATCAAACGAATGTCGGGCCGTGCTACCGCACTTTTTGAACTTTCAAAGGGACCGGCGGCTTTCGGTAATGTGTTTTTCCAACTGACTTTGCATAAACTATACTAGATGTTCAACCAGAGGGTATAAGAAGGAAATAAGAAAAAATGAATGGAATTTGGAGGACTTTTGTTGGCAACAGAGTGCTGCAGGGTTTCACTCGATATCCTGCCGATTTTCGATTTCGGAATGAAAACGAGTTAACTAGACCGGTACGGAAAGCAGCTTCGTCCTCAATTATAAAATTAACACCGGATAATGCATGATGATCTAGTCATGCTATGTTAGTTCTAAGGTAGGACTTTGCGGTCACGTTATACACTGTAGGACGTTGCCATCGCTAGTCAACATGTGCACGTCCCTACTCATACAACGTTGCAAAGTGGTACTACAAGTAAACCACTCTGCTGACAGATGGCACTACCTGGCTCCTTGAGTGGAAGAACCACAAATCCTATTCGATCCCTCATAACTAAGAGATCTAGGATGAAAAGAGTTGTTCCGATTGTCAGCCGACCGAGAGCGGCTGATGAGGCCTTTCGGGCCGAAAAAGTACTGTTTCGCTTCTGCTGACAATTGGGACAACTCTATTCATCCTAGATCTCTTGGTTATCAGATCTAGTTCAATAAAAACTAGCATTTGAAAAGTAGAACGATGATAAAAACTCAAAATGGAGCAACTTTCTAACAGTCAGTGAAACGCTTCAAAGTCAGTTCCACAAAATGATCAATGAATTGAAGGAGTTACTAAAGGTTCAACCAGAGAGGATAAGGAGGATATAAGAGAAAATGAATGGGATTTGGAAGATTTTTGGGAAATGAGGTTTGCAATAATTGCAACAAAGTGCTGCAGAGTTTCGCTTGATACCATGCCGATTTTCCATTTCGGAATGAAAAGCGATTTACACAGTCCGGTACGAAGAGTGGCATTGTGTAGTAGCAAGTCGATTGCTCTCAACTGCAAGATGAGATTTTAATACTACCACGATGCTCGAAATTGCTCAAAACAGAACGATTTTATTAACAGTCAGTGAAACGCTCTAAAGTCAGTTCCTCGAATTTAAGAACTTATTAGAGGTTCAACCAGAGGGGATAAGGTGGGAATAAGAGGAATAAGGGTATGGGAATAGAGCAGTGTCAGCTCATGGCGCACTCTTCGTTTTTATCAGCTGATCAAAGTTGTGTGTGAATTTTGATTTTATCATTTCTGACCCATTGGTGATTTTGTTGAACTTGTAGAACTTTTATAGGAGAAAAATGTGTATATTATGTTGCAAGCGGTGTATCTATTGAGGTATGGACTTCTTGTGAGTCCAGTAATTTCAAATTGACAAATAAACCAATTTGAGCTCTTCATTCCCTTTTCACACAGTATTCATGATGGGAAATGTGCAAGAAAGTGACATGTACCCTTATGGAAAATATTTATGCTTGTCCTCCCATCAGTTTTTAAATGGCCGACAATTTTACGTCATATGACGTCACTGACAGTGCTCCATTGGAAGACTTTTGAGGTGATGGAAGGGAGTCAGGAGGAAATGAGTGTTGAATTAGCTGAAATATATCAACTGTAAACAATTGGTAGGAATTAGGGGAAGGGAAGGAACTCGGGAAATGACCAAAATCAGAGGAAATTTTGATGAACTATCAGAAATCATTGGAAATTGCAGGAGATTTCAAAAATTAGCCTAAACAAGAAAGGTTCTTCAGAAGTATTAGAAATAATTATGAGAAATAAAGGAATCAGAAAAAATATTGAGAAGAGGTGTTTGTATCTCTCTCTCTAGAAACATTTTGGATTTTCAATTCATGCTAAAACATTTTTATGTTTTGATACTAGACATCATTTTCTATTAATTATCATGAACCAATATCCCCACAGTAAGATGTTATGGAATACACACAAGTTCATGCTAGAGGCTTATGACAAAAATAGTGGCTCATTATCTTGTTGAACTTTTAGGGATATAATGGGATATAAGCTTCAGATGTGAATTATAAATATGCAGGAATATGTTATTCATCAAATTTCATTTAAGGAACTTCATTTGTTTTTTTTTTCAAAAATCCATCCTTTCTTGATCCTATAGAACCAGAAGCCTATTTAATACAAAATATATATTAACCCTAGTTATTTTTAATTTCAAATAAGCTCCCTGTCAAGCTAAACTGGGTGTATATCAATTATAATATTATATAATCAGCTACCTACTTCCATTGGTACCACTGGAGAATCAAGTTTTTGGATATTTATTAAATATCAACTTTCTTCTTGTACAATTCATGCATTCAAACAGAAACACATCCATTCAACAAATTATAGTATATAGGTGCAAATTTCATAACAAATTACCAAAAAAATATTTTGAACATTTTTCATGCCCCATTTTAGGCATGGTTAATCCCTCAAGTAGAACTCATTTGACTATAAATTCACCTGCAGTGGTCTTGTTGCAATATCCAGGAGCAATCTATTGGAAATATCAGAAAGCTCCCATGGTTTGAAAACTTGCTGAGTGGCTACTTCTGTTAAAAAAGGTAGTGCCTTCTCAAGAGCCTGTTGGGTTCCTTCTAATGTGTAAGCAATTGTCTCTCTATCAGATGTAGCAGTTAGACTAGCCCCAACTTGTTGGATGTTACGAATTATGGCAAATTGAGATGCATTCTTGGTAGACAAACCTGCTGCAGTACGTAGTACATGGGTGACCCCTAAGTTATCAGAAGATTCATTACGGCTCCCTGCCCTGTAATGGAATATTTATTCAACAGATTATTCAAATTATGAAATAGGAATAGGTACAGAGAAGAATTTCACACTGAACCTACATACCTAAAAACAATTGAAACTCTGCTTATGTTGGATTCATTTTCAGCAGAAGTTACAACCAACTTGCTTGGAAGGACATTGGTTTTCAATTCATAGTTTGGATTACCGCAAATTGGAGCTAGCTGGGCGAACCCCCTATTCTGAAAAATCATTGACATTTGAATATGTACCAACAAGTGCAATAATATTGTCTATCTCACCGATATTGACACTACTTTAAGTAATGGAGCTTTTGTGAGATTTGATGCCATGATTCTGGAAAATTAAGACAATTATATAGTGTGTAATTGATATAAGTACAAATATAATAATAAAAATATGGAATGTTATTACATAATAATCTAGAAAATAATCTTATAGTTCAAATTTTATCGAAGTACGAAGCTTTTTTGAATAATTCGTTATAGATATATTTTTATCAATTGTTTTTTACAGATATTGATGGAAAATAATGAATTAGAATTTTACCTTTTCCAAAAATCCTTCCAAAAATACTCCTTACAAACCAAAAATCAAATACTTTTGACAATATGACATATGACAATCTCAAATCTGACAAGGTGACGGTGACATGTGAGTGACAAGTTGGTGACATGTGAGTGACAAGTTGGCGACAAGTGTGAAGTATGACGACTATAGCGTCTGCAGAGAGATTGCAAGTAATAAAGCGGGTGGTGGGGGAATGTCTCATCGCGTTAGAAGCGACTAGCGTTTTCTTCTGCGTTGCTCACTTGGCGTTTGTAATTCTGGCTAACTCATGGATGAAATATCGAGACTAATAAAGAAGGGAAATATAGTTGCTACATGAAAAATGAGACTACTCTTTCCAAACAATCTAACTCGGCCTAAACGATTAGAACTTTAATCTTTTCCTGAAGATGCTAACATAGTTAGCGAAACACGTGTCGAGGCGCTAAAAAATCGGTTTGGTTAGTGGTAAAACAGTGTAGTGTATGTATTCTGATTCGATAAAAAACAGATTTAAGAATATTTGTTTCATTTTCTTGCTTTGCTTACAAAATGTTGAACATGAAATTATGTGACGTCAGACCTCTGAAAGGCGAATGGCACGACCAGCTCAGGCATCCGTAGATAGGCACTCTATCTCACACTGTACTCACTGTGCAGTGTGCACGAATCCGTTTTGCTCAAACCACAGACTCAAACTAAGATACCCAAACCAATGACAGCTAAATATCAAGTGAGCTGCTGACCTCAGTCTCAAATTATCTTTAGGCTCAGTAGGAGTAGGCCTTTCTGTTGATTTGTATTTTGATTTTCCTGGTCTTTCGAAATCGCTCTCTAGTCTCAAGTTATCTTCAGGTCTCATGGCAGTTGGCTTCTCACCAGGTTTATAATCTGGTCTATTTGGTCTTTCAAAGTCTCACTCAGGGCGAAGATTATCATCTGGTCGTTTTTGTTTAGGTCTCTCTGCAGGCGACAATTCTTGTTTTTCTGATTTTTGGAACTCACCTTCTGGTTTTAAGTCGTCTTCAGGCTTTTTCAGTTTAGGTCTCTCAGCTGGAATGAATTTTCCTGGAACTTAGGCAGCTCTCTTGATATTCAGCAGTCATTGGCCCAAGCGATTCCTATAGACTAGCCTAAAGACCATTCAGAATAATCCAAAGAAGCGCGTGCGTGTTGACAAACGTCAACAAGCGTACCAGCGAATCTTTCATACAGGATATGTTCCGTTAATCAACCGAGGTGACCGATGCTTTCAGGGCCGTTACCAACAATTTTGACAGCGGTTGCCTACTGGTGACTACGGTTGTTGTTTATTTACGAAATGCCAGTCAGTTGTCAAATTATAGGTTTGATCATTTTTTAAACATTCATGCTCTGCCAGTATTCAATTTTCAATAATGGCACCCAAAAGCCTCTAAGTCTTGTGCACAGTAAGCACAAGCATAGGATGTAGTGTCCTGAAATAGAAGAGAACGTCATCGAACTGAAAATATATCGAATATTATTAATTTACCTCAGTAAATGAATCCATCGGAACTTAACGCAGTAATTAGAATGAGAATATTGTTTTTCGTTGTAATTTGTGAATCGAAGAATCAAACCGAAAAGTAAACACGTCAACGTCAACTCAAACATACCGAACTCACCAGAGAAAATCCACGGTTGTTCTGGTTAGAGTCACTGGATGGTATTACTTTGATAAGAGTTCGGACACAGAAATGACAACGGTTAGGGTTTTCGAATGTTTAGATTCATAAAGTTACACACCTTGCATTGTGACAAGAGCACCATAGTCGTCCTGCGCTTTTTCATTCAAAATTTTTTGAATTTGACAATTCATTTTATAAACGTCAGAATTGAAATAAAATTCCATAATCATTATACTTTCAAGATAAAAGCAGCTTTGGAAATCACTTGCTGTGTAATGAATTGTGCCAATTTGGAAACAAATGGATATCATTCATTCAATTTTCCAAATCAAATATCAAGCATTCGCTTATGGAAGGAAAATATGAAACGGCCTGGGTGGAAAATCAATTTGAAGATGAGCGAAATTTGTGAGGTACTCATTGGAATTCACTTTTTATAATAGCATCTGATTAGAATGAATATATATTTCAGGTCCATTCTCAAACAGAAGATTTCAAAATCTGTTTGAGGGAATCTGCTGTTCCATCAATTTACAAAGCAGACGATTTCAAGAACAAAATTCCATTATTATCATCACACAAAATACAAAACAAAATAATCATGGAAAAGGGGAAATGATCGCAAAATTACATTATGAAATTGAAAATTTGAAAACGAAACTAAGAAAAGCAAGTAAACTACAACGTGATATATTATTGAATGGCATTTTTGGTGCTGACCGAATTCAAAATTCAACAGTGAAAAGTGAATAGATATTTATGTATCAAGGGAATTATTATAAGGGCCTTAATTACGCTAGAGGTTATCGTTTGGAGATATTTATTTCTATATCGATCCATGTTACTTAGCTCCTAGGGCGCTGAGTGAAGTTGCTGAGAACTGTACAAAACCAAGTATTTGGTAGGTCTCGTCAAAATAAATTACTTTTTTCCTAATAAATCTTTATCGAAAAATGATTTGTTCTTTGTATTTCTTAAAATTGTCTCATCAGGAATACTTCACTGGAGTACAGTTTCACATACAATAAGGAATTATAGCTATAAGTTTATCCATAAGTATATATTCTCTGATATTAAAATGTTGTTACATGCATTTTTTTCATTTATATAATAGTTGCTCTGCTAGAAGTGTATCACTATGAATTGAAGTGGGTGTTTGTACCCTATATCCATTGTCCATCTACGGCTATGATTGATTTGACAGAAAATATAACCTCTAAAATCGTATCTGACAATCAGGTGCTACTAGGGAAATTGAAAAGACAAAGAGCAGAATATATGTCTTATTCTTTTATTCACTTAAACCATTGTATTATAGAAAATAGAAAAGGACAAAAGTTCAGCTGTGTCCGAACTCTTATCAAACTAATACCATCCAGTGACTCTAGTTCTGGTGACAGTGAATCTACCGCTTTTTTAGCAACCGAGTTCCGTAAATAACCTTTTTTCAGGAACCAACCGAACAATACGTATTTACGGAACGGAAAGCTACTAACCGATATAACCAAGTTGATTTACGGAACATACCTACATTGAGGTCTAGTGACGTCACCCACAACATGATGCTTCTGTGTTCTGTGCATGATGAAAATAGACATATATCCACAAAAATATACTTTTCAGGTGAAAGCTTAATTTAGAACAAGTTAGGTTGGAAGTTCTTTCCTTTTTCATGCAGAAGAGATATTTGCCTTCCTGTCTCATAAACACGAATAATCTTCTGATAACCTTGAGATTTGAAAGATTCGCCGGTCTAGCTAGACGCTTTGTAGGGGAATAAAATAAATACTGTATGTGCGGGCTGCTGTGCTTATTTTTTGAAAAGGAATATTCTCAGGATCGTGATTTCTCAATTCAGGATTTTTTTTCACTCATTCCTGTATGATGAATGATCAATTCATCTTATACTATCAATTGGTCTTTTCTTCATACTATAATTTTCAAGTACCTTAGTGGAACAGTTGTTGTGCGTTCGATTTCCACGCCGGCGATCCAGGTGCAATTCCTTTGACGGTCGTCTTTTTTTAAATTCTGATTTCTCAAGTTTCTTCCGAAAAATATACTTTTTTAGGAAGAATCATTTAGGCGAAGCAAGGTTGAAATGCTTGAAATAAATAGTCTCTTTTCATATGCAGAAGGGATATTTTCATTCCTCCCTGCAAAAACAAAAACTACCACTGTTGAGGCTGAGCCCCATAGGCCCATTGTGATTTGTTACTTCAATGATTTTTTTTCAAGGATATTGGCTATTATTTACTATGATGTCAAAACATTCGTACTTCGAATTTACCATTAATCGCCATTGCCAAAATCGCGGCTGAAAGTTGAGATAGTTCATAGGCGAACCAAAGAATATTAACGCTATGCTATTCACGAATAGAGTTAATAATCTTTGGCCGAGCGTAGGGAGGCTAGGAATTCATCTAAAGCAGTCACAATCTACTTTGCTTGCTACCATGTGTAATTTGAACTCTATTATTTTGTGTTCAGCCCAATTTTGATTACTACAAACACTTATTGCGTCTGCGGACTCTGCATCATAAAAAAATGGAATAGTGGTGGGGACTTCGCGTAATTCCGTACACCCCAAAAAGAAGAAAATAGCACTTCCATGAATTCACATGGAAATAAAAAGAGACTATTGCTCAAATAGAAACCTTTACTCTAGGAAATAATGTCAAAACTTTTTCTCAACAGTAAATGCCTCCAGGGAGGAAGGAAATTATATTCACGCCTTGTCCTCAATGATTCAACTGTGTAGTTTCCCCACTTCCTGCCAAATGTACCACAATATTTAAAGCTCTCATTTACCCCGCTCTCCCCTACTAACCCACCGTGTCTGGCTCTACCTCCAGCAACTAACCTCATTCTTCCGTTTTGTGCTGAGTAGTACACACGCGTGTCGCGTAGCTCTCGAAAATAATTAATAAAGTGGGAAAAAACAAGACGAAAAACAATGGGAAATAAGAGTAAACGTAAGCGATCGTATTCGTCTTCATCAAGTTCGAGTTCCGACGAAGTTGCCGACCTAAGAAGAGAGGTAAAGAAGTTGAAAAAGTTGATCCGTCGCCGAGATAGATCGCCATCAGAATCTCTAGATTCAGCTCATTCAAGCCAGTCAGCGTCGATAGTCGATTTGTTAGACGGCGAAATAGCCGATGAAGGTTGGTACCTTCGCTTGGATACAATCATTGTCTGGCAGTGCACCGTTCTGGAGCACCTCTATAGCATTCCATTGTTTGTGGTCAAACAATGATGAAATCCATTGTCTGTGGTCAGATAATGAAGATACCATGGGTATGGTATATATGCAGGATGTTTTTTGTCTGCATTATGGGTGAAATAAAGGTAAATATCCCAATTTGCGCCTTTTTTGGCCCCACGTCACCACGGCGTAACATAACCCCAAAAAGTGAGAGAAAGAATTCTTCTTCTCTTTTTGTTTTGTTTCGATTTGGGACTATAAGGCTTCATAGATAGTAGCCAGCCTTCGAGATCCCTCTTCTTCTTCTGTTTTTTTTAAGATTGCGACCCGAAGGGTGAACTGCCAGGAATGATTCCAAGCTAGAAACTAAATTGGAATCGTGAGGTCTGAATTATTTTCAGGTGTACATGATGAGGATCCGCTCAAGATTGAGTTTGTGGATGTTCCTTCATTAAATGAAGAAGTTTTGAAGGCAATAGGGAAAGTTGGTCCTGATCCAGGAAATTCTGAAATTGTAATTCACGAGGATTTGTCAGCTCCTTGGGAAGCGCTGTTCAGAGCTGGTCTTGATGAAACTTCTCAAAAGCAACTATTAGAAAAATACCCTGGTATTAAAAATTGTAAAGCAGCCTCCCCTCCTAAACTGAACCCTGAGGTCAGGGCTGCAATCAATGAAAACACCATCAAGCGGGATGCTAGGATGGAGTTGAGACAAAAGCAGCTTGGGGCAGGTATCTGTGCCCTAGGTAAAGCACTGACTGTTCTGCTGAATAAAGAAGAAGGAGGGGGGGGAGGTGACCTGGTACTCATAGAGACCTTGGGGGATGCTGCCCGAATCCTTGCTGATTTGCATTTCAGAGAATCAGAAACACGTAAAAACATTGTTGGTGCAGCCCTCAACCCAGACCTCAAAGAAATCATGGTTAATGCTAATATTGATGATTTTCTGTTTGGTGAAAATCTAGGGGAGCGTGTTAAGGCTGCAAGGGCGATTGAAAAATCTGGGAATGAGTTGAAGCCTAATAGTCAGGCTAAACGATCTTCAAAGGTTGTGCATAGGCAGTTAAACTCCAAGGCTCCGCTCAGGAACAAGGGACACCAGAGCGGACGTCAATTTCAGTTTTCTCGTCCCAACACCAACTACAACAAATACGACCCCAACAACAGATACGACCCCAGCAACCGATATCGCCAGTCGAATCACCACCAAAAGAAGGACCAGGAGTCCAGAAGGAGACGATAAATGAAGAGGTTAGTTTCAAAGCTGGCAGGTTGTGTGAGTTTTTCCAAAACTGGAAGGGGGTGACCAAGGATCCACAAATTTTATCTTGGGTTCAGGGATACCAACTGCTTTTTCACACTAGGCCATATCAGCATCATTCCCCGCCAATGAAGCAATGGTCCAAAACAGAGGAGTACATGATTGAGAAAGAGATCAATCATCTCTTACAGATTGACGCTATCAATGTTTGTAGTCCCTGTAAAGGACAGTTTATTTCACCTATTTTTCTAACCCCAAAAGCTGATGGTAGTAGCAGGCTAATTTTAAATCTAAAAAAGCTCAACCAATATGTTATAACAAATCACTTCAAGATGGAAGATAAAAACACAGCAACAAAACTCATGACTGAGAATTGTTTTTTAGCTTCCATAGATTTGAAGGATGCTTATTTTATGATAAGGGTCAGTAAGGAACATAGGAAATTCCTTCGCTTTCAATTCAATGGAGCATTATATGAATACACATGCATTCCTTTTGGTTTATGTACAGGGCCTTGGGTTTTCACAAAACTTTTGAAACCGGTTGTTTCCTTCCTCAGAAGGAAAGGCTTGATATCAGTTGTGTACCTGGACGATTTCTTGTTGTTTGGCCTCACCTACCAAGAATGCCTTCATAATGTCAAAGAGACAAGGGCCCTATTGGAGCACCTTGGTTTTATACTGAATGTGAAGAAGAGCCAATTAGTACCCTCACAACATTGTAGATTTCTGGGATTTCAATTCAATTCCAATTCCATGTGCCTTAGCTTGCCTGAAGAGAAACGCTCAAATTTGTTGCATCTTTTGCAGAAGTTGTCAAAATTAGAAATATGCTCAATAAGAGAATTCTCTAGCTATGTAGGGAAATTAGTATCTGTGTGCCCAGCAGTCAGATATGGTTGGGCATACTCAAAGACTTTTGAAAGGGCAAAATATTTAGCATTAACATATGCTAGAGGTGATTATGAAAAGAAAATGCATATTCCTAAAGAATTGGCCGATGATCTCAATTGGTGGAGACATAATATCTTGACGTCTTTTAACCCTATTCCAAAAAATAAATTTGTATTAGAGATATTTTCGGACGCTTCTCGTACAGGCTGGGGTGCAGTATGCAAGAATAATAGAGTACATGGTTTTTGGAGCGATCGAGATCGGTTGCACCATATCAATTATTTGGAACTACAAGCGGCATTTTTTGGGTTAAAATGTTTTGCGGGGGAACAAAGAAATTGTGAAATTCTTCTGCGTATTGATAACACCACCGCTATTGCTTATATCAATAGAATGGGCGGGATAAGATTTCCTATTTTGAGCAAATTAGCAAAGGAAATATGGCGGTGGTGCGAAGAACGGCTCATTCGAATTTTTGCATCATACATAAGCTCAGAGCAAAATCAACATGCAGATTTTGAGTCACGGAGAACTCCTATTGAAACGGAATGGGAGCTATCTGATGATGCTTACAAGATCATTGTGAATACATTTGGGCTTCCCAGCATTGATCTCTTCGCAAGCAGGATAAATGCTAAATGTCCGACATTTGTTTCTTGGCATCCAGATCCAGAGGCAATTGCAGTGGATGCATTTACGCTAGACTGGTCTGAGACCTTTTTTTATGCATTTCCACCATTTTCGATTGTATTGCCAGTGCTTCAGAAGATAATCAGAGATCATGCTAGAGGTATCCTGGTCATTCCATGGTGGCCAAATCAACCATGGTTCCCTCTCTTCCAGAAATTGTTGATTTCCGAACCGATTTTTTTCTCTCCCAATGAGAACTTATTATTATCTCTCAACAGGACCAGGCACCCGCTATGTCACAAGATTACCCTGGCTGCAGGGATCTTATCAAACGATCACTGATATTGAAGGGGTCGCCTTCTCATACCGTTGATGTGATGCTGGCTTCCTTGTCTCCAAATACAATCAAGCAATACAATGGTGGCCTTAGAGCATGGTGGAATTTCTGTAAGAAGAAGGAATCGAATGTCCTGTCCGGTTCAGTGACGAATGTTTTGGAATTTTTGGGGGATCAGTTTCAAGGGGGAGCCTCGTATGGAACCTTGAACTGCGCCAGATCAGCACTTTCCCTCATATTGTCCCCAGACATTGGTAACAACTTCCAGATTAAGAGATTCTTCAGAGGTGTGCAGCGTCTTAGACCTCAGACACCTAAATACAATGAAACTTGGGATCCTGCAGTGGTCATAGATCAATTGAGTCAGGCTTATCCCAATGAAAATCTGGATCTAGAGTTGCTCACCAGAAAAACAGTAACTCTCCTTGCTTTAATCACAGCTCACCGTGCTCAAACGCTTTCTCTTATATTAACTTCCAATATAGAGGAAACAGATGACGGTCTGATCATAAAAATTCCAGACAGGGTAAAGACTTCCGGAAAGGGAAGGCAACAGCCGGTTCTCCAGGTTCCTTATTTTGAAGAAAATCCAAGCACATGTGTTGCGAGGGCACTCAAGTCATACCTAAGAAGGACTGAGGATCTTCGCGAAAATGTCAACAGACTCTTCATCACCTTTAAGAAGCCTCACCTGGAAGCCAGTACCCAGTCGATTAGCCGTTGGATCAAGAAAACCTTAGCTGAGAGTGGTATTGACGTGAGCAGGTTCCAGGCCCATAGTACACGTCATGCAGCGACTTCGGCTGCTAATAGAAGTGGAATCACTCTAGATAGAATATTATCAACAGCCGGGTGGTCGCAAAAATCAAGTTGTTTCGCTCGATTTTATAATAAGCCTATTCATGACAGGAATGATTTCGCCAAAGCCATCCTCAGGCTCTAATAAGAAATTGTTTGTAATTTTTCGTTAAATTTGTTGATGTTCAGGTTAATTTTGCTATTTGAAGTTGTTATATGGCAAAATATATGATTTTCTATCTGCAACATTGCAACTGTCTTTAAACATCTACACAGTTGAATCATTGAGGACAAGGCGTGAATATAATTATAAGATCAAACAAACTTACCTCAAGTGAAGTTCGATCTTAATTATATGAAACGCCTTGTCCGAGATGATTATACCCACCCTTCAAACCCACCCATAATCATCTCCAGTTGCAATGATATATAGCTTTAAAAATAATGAGGTTAGTTGCTGGAGGTAGAGCCAGACACGGTGGGTTAGTAGGGGAGAGCGGGGTAAATGAGAGCTTTAAATATTGTGGTACATTTGGCAGGAAGTGGGGAAACTACACAGTTGAATCATCTCGGACAAGGCGTTTCATATAATTAAGATCGAACTTCACTTGAGGTAAGTTCGTTTGATCTTATAAATATCCCTCCTGCATAAAAAGACTACTTTTTTAAACCACCTAACCTTACTCGGCCTAAATGAACCTTCTTCCTAAAAAGTACTTTTTCCTGGGAGGAAGGAAAATATCCCTCCTGCGTAAAAAAGGACTCCACTTTTTACCATCTAACCTTAATCAGCCTAAATGAACCTAAAAATTATATTTTTCGGAAAATCTCTTGAGAAAAGAGAATTTAAAAAAAGCCAACCATTGCAGGCATTGAATTGTGGTCGCGGTACCCGCTGATTATATTCGTTACCTCGGCGCTAGTATTCAAGGGAGAAGAGCTGATAACTAGCAATGCTGCACCCCACCATTCTAAAGTTTTTCATACTTATTTCAACATTGCATAGCAACAAACTTTTCCTGACTACAGTACCTGGTCAGAGCACCCTGTATCACAGAAACAAAGCAACTCAGGACATGTGTTCATAGGAACTTTATTTTACTGAAAGGACATAAGTCAACCTTTGAAGTAGTCTACAACCATAGCTGGAAACACCCTATATAGAGCAAGGATAGAGGTCAAAATAAAATCGCACCTCTGTTCTCTGCTACAACCCCAGTTCTTTGAAACAAAGAATAACAAAATGAAGTAGATATCCCACCAATCCAGCAGTTTTGCTGATCCTGGAATCTTCATACTTGCTGATGAAATGTATCAGTTCATTTGTTTAAACCCATAAATCACAACATATAGTATTTGAGAATGGTTCAACAATCCAGTTTCTCAGTTGATAATTTCATTTGATCTCAACTATTTTATTGGAATATTGAATGAGCCCCCAATTTCCTGTTTCCATCCACTTTGGATCCTCAGCTTCTATTTTTTCTGCTATTCCTTCCTCAAGCCCACATACAATATCTGCTTTGATTGTACGTAAAATGGCCAGTTTGGTTGGATTGAAATTCTGTAATGCTTGATCAACAGATGTTGTGGGGTCCCAATTTTTCTCCCCAAACAGCTTCCTATAATTCAAATCCCCTTTGAATATGGCCAACTTTGCTTCTGCTAATTGCTTGTACAGATTCTGGTCCACTCTGGCCATATAAGTATAGTCAAATGGCAAAGTCCAGAAGTCAGATTCCACAATTAGCCATGTACCATTATCTATGTAGCTTTGCCACCTTTCACCCAGATTTTGCAACACATGATTTTCATGACTTTTCAGTTGTTGTAGCATCCAGTGGAAATCATGTGTCATTACATCAGAAATAAACCAAGGTATTGTCTTGACATAAAGTCTTATAGTTTTAGCTAGTTGTTTTGCTATCATGTAATCAGCTAGACAGAGATCTGTGAACACCTCATAGCCAGCATTGTCAAATACAATATCTGAAACATAAAGGGAATATTTTCTTGGGACTCTCATTCATTTAGCAAGAATTCTCACCAACAATATCTGAGGAAGAATCACAAGCTGAAATTGCTTTCCATATATCTGTTGAGTAATCACTCAATATTTGCTTATCTAATGATGATATATCAAATAGAGTATTTTCTTCAGTCACTTTTCCTAAGGACAGAGACAAGTCACACTTATTTCCCCATAGATTGAGCTAGAAATTTAAATTATTTTTTATTCAGTTACAGAAGTTGTGTTACCAGATACCTTCCTGGTGAGAATTTCAAAGCTCATTTTTTGATATTTTTTGAGTAAATAGCATTCTAGTGAAGAACATTTTTGAACATATTGCTAAGTAGCTAGTATGGGGAATTACTTCCAGGTATTCATCAAAAGGATGTAAAGCACATTCCCAAAACCAATTCAACAAATATGAAACCCATTAGAAACTCACAGGAGAGAGGACATCTGGTAAGCCAAAGATGAATAGTTACAAATACAAGTTTGAGAGAAACAAATGTAATCATTGTAATCTGGTAAATGTACTAATATAATGTACCTTCATGAACTGAACAAATTCATCTTCACTAGGTGTGGTTGAATCATGTATGCTATCCCACAAATATTTTCCCATCTGTTCTATGAGTGGCAAGGCAGTAAAAAATGATTCTTCTTTCTTATCTTGAAATGGATCAAAATTCTTGAGAACAGACCTATAAGGTGAATAATATTTCAATCTGGAAAACAACCAGCGAATTTAGTTCAATATAATTCTGCTTACATTGTCTCAAATATCTGCCATATTCTTCTGTACATATAACACTCAGCTAACAGCCAAATGGTGTGAAAATAGGTGGCATGGCCTTCTTCATTAGCCTGCCTGGTAATGTATTCATTATATATTTTTGCATCAGCTGCTTGGCTTGACAACAATTTTAAAGGTTTATTTGTTTGAATTTCATATTTGAGTTTGGAAAGCTGTCCTATAACTGTTTTTATTTCTTCTTTAGCTTCCTAGAAGAGATTGTTATAAGTCAACACTATATGAGACTATTTAAAATATTGATCACACAATCAAAATTTTTATCAAATCTGAGATCTGATTCCAATAATACATATTCCAGTGTCCATTTCAACTCACTTCCTCGTATTTTTCAGCAAGTTTCAATTTGTTCCTTGCTAAATTGTCCAGCAAACTTGTTATAATAACGGGCATCCGATTTTTGATGGTATAAAATGCAAAACTCCTGCAATATTAAATAAATGTACAATATCAATACTTGCAAATTATCTTCATTTACCTCTTGTAAAATCCTGATAGATATACATTTCGAGGCGTTTTCACATCCATACTTCTGTTTGATTCACAATCACACATTTTGTAGGACCAAATAAAATAAAATGCCAAATTAGAAAAATATCTCTCTTGGATCAACTATCAAAATGATATCCAGATTTTCATCAAAGAATATAGGTTTCCCCTCTCCTCTTTGTTTTCATCTAAGGTGGCTATAATTGACTGGTGTAGCAACTCTTCAATTGTTTCTGGAACGAATGTGTCGATCGATTTTAGCATAGAACACAACCAATAAGGGTCGGTAACATAGGAATTTTGCCTTGTTGACATTGATTGTCATATGTGTCAAAATTTAATATTCGATTTTGGCGCTATGAATATTCTCAGATTTCGGTTAGTCAAAGTTTCATTCCTCCAAAACTGTGCTCGAAAGTTCGGAAGTTTTGTAGTGCTGTTTGATGTGTTTGGTGATTCTTTTTAGTTTTTCAATAAGTTTGTTATTAGAGTGTTTATAAATGGAAGTTTTGTTGTGTTTTGAATTGTTGTGATTTGTAATACACCAGGAAAATGGAATACTGTATAGTGTGTGGACAAATAAAACTGTTTCTCGTCGCCTTTTTGCGATTCCGAAGGTAATTTTTCCCACATAGATACGTTTAAAGCAGGATTTGTAAATCCACCAAACCATCACCGTTTGTGAATGAATGATCGGAATGTGTGTCTATTGTCTATCACTTCGATCTAACATATCAGCCTTCAAATAAATAACTATTATCAATTGAATTCCACTTCTTCTCATCAGATAGTCCATGCATTTTTGCATTTTAATCATTACTTATATTCTCATCAGTTCAGTTGGGTTCATATGAATTCAGAATCTACTGTGGAAATTTGTCATGAGAACATTATTCTATTCTTAGGATGACAATGTGAGAAAAGAATGGATTCGTGCTGCTGGTAAATACTCCTATATTATGGTTTTGTCTGTTCTGACCATTTTTCATCAGAAGATTGTTCAGGTGCGGGGAGTGTATAATCTCTGGGTGCACTTAGGCTGAGACATGGAGCACTGCCATGAAAACAGTAACTTTACCTATTTTTTATCAATTACATATAGTAACTAAAGCTATTCCTGCTCTAATAATAACTATTATTATATGTATATGGTACTATGAGCCAGATAAGCAGTATTAGTACAATATGATCAATGTTTGATACTCACAGTAGTTTCATTGTACAGATGACTTTTATTGATCATCTAGTTGGTAGGTAGGTACATCATATTGTATCTCAATAATCACTGATTCAATATAGTTCTAGGATTCATACAGATCTAATCAATACACCTCCACAAACACTATATTATCATTATAACTGAGGTCATTAATTTCTAAAATATTATTGAACATAGTCAATGTTTAAATAGCAATTATCAAAACCTTTGAGAATATAGGAAAACTAGAGTTTCAAATACCCAATAAAACAAACTATAAGTGAAGATACTCACCATCTACACCTCCTTCAATTTTTTTCAGATGTGTACCATTTATTTATTTTTTCCTTGCTTCTAATATAGTTTATAATTATGTGCTTTAGTTGTCTTATGAATGGGAAACTTTTTATCAGCATTTCAAAAAGAAAGAAGTGACCTTTATATATTTTTAATGCTCCATAATAATTTCAGCTATTTTTTGAATATTCATAAAATTATATATAATGACTCATAGTTGAAACTGCAAGTATAGAGTAATTGTCCAGCAAAATTGTATCTTTATGTTATGCTCCTCTTCAAAATTAATAAGCTATATATCCGAGAATCCCAGGCTATATCCATGGGAGTAGTTGAATTTCATAAATAACTAAGACAGTGGGGAAAGTATGGTGAATCACCTACCTAGGGTCAATTAAAGTGCCTACTTCATTATAATCTTTAAATTGGTTTGTATTGACAGAAAAACACAGTTATGTATTATTCCTGTCAGTTTGTTTCTAATGAATGAATAATAGTTATTTGTTTCACTGGCTGGTGTTTCATAGCCTATAGGCATAATTAACTGAGGCTAGGAAACCAGTCAAGGCATTACATCTGCTTTTCTGCCATGTGAAACATATAATTTTTTCTCCAAATTCTTCTCAATGTCATGCAGAGTCCAAATAATCCATCATTTTTTGTTCACCCAAAGTCATTGTCAATTTTGATTACCAATTTGATTTATATTACTCAGAATGTTGCAAAGCAACAAACTTTTTCTGCCTAGGCAGTAAAAGTACACCTTTTCTGCTTGTTTTCCACTTTTAGTGTCATTTGAAGAAAAAATACTTTTTTTCATGAAACTGGTCAGACAGAATGTCCTGTTTGTATACAGTGTGTCCAAGATAAGGATGTCTATATGGGGTGAATTGATGATGGTTTCTCTGGAACGAAACATCCTATGGAAAATCTATCATTGTTGTTTTGAAGAGCTTAAAAAGTGGCAAGGAGAAAGTGTCTTCTGTTTTCCTATATCTCTTTAAATAAAAATTATCCCCATGATATAGACTCCTTATCTTGGACACAGTGTATTTTCAAGGGAAATAAAAACACACAATATTTTAAATTTTAATAGGTAATGATATATAATTATGTAGAGTATGTTAGCATCAAAAAGTTTGTTAAATATCTATAGGTAGGTACCAAATTTCATATGCTTACATTTTTATGTTAACAGACAATTTTTTAACAAATGTTTCAATTTCAACATTTGCATTAATAAAAAGGAGTGACATACAAAATATTGTTTGACTTTGAATGCATCCCATTCTTATTTTCCAGATTTTGTAAACCATCTACTAGTCTTTATTTCACTGAAGAATCTACTTTTTTTTACCAGAACCTGAGCCCAACCCTGAATCTGATCCTGAACCTGCAGAGAAAAATGAAGGCATCAACAGTGTCTTTGGTGTCATTTGTGCACTCATGAAAACATATGTTTATTCCCTTCCTCTTCCCCCTACCTGGGGTATTCATATAAAACAGAGAATGCAATGATATTCTCCAAACTGTTAATAGGAGACACTGTGGCTATTGAACGTCTTCTACTAGTTACAGCAGGAAAAATATGTGCACAAGTTCATGATAAATCAATGCATGTTACTGATACAATAGAAACCATTGGTGATTTGGTAAAACTGGTTCAACAAATGGAAAACTCCAGAGTGTGTGATATGGTAAAAGTAATTCTTGTAATATTTTCCCTGGTGAAAGAAAATCACTCTGTAAACCTTGTTGGAGTTATAAGTATTTCTTGTAAAATAGAGCTGATAACAAACTGAAGAGCATACTTCTGAAAAGATATAAAGCAAAGAGTTTGATTTACATCAAAAAACAGAACAGACATTTCAAAAATGTTATAACAAACTTAAAAAAGGAGAGAATCGATGAAAATAAACTCAATTTATTTGTGAAAAAAGTCTACACAACAAGAAATGATCAGGGCATGTCATAAGGCAGCAAAAACAAAGAGCACTGGCAACAGATATACTTTGGAATGGGTTTATGAATGCATTCTCATGAAAATTGAAAGTACTAGATTATATAACAATTTATGAGATGATAAAATATTATCTTCCAGAATTATTAATTGATGAAACAACTATTTTCTATTTTGGATATTACTTATTCCTACTCTGAAAATGTTTTCAAGTGGAATGCAAAGACAACCAATGATTATAGTTATGCATGTCTGCCCAGTCATTCAGTTTATATATTTTTTTCATATTATATAATATTCATTTATGCATATATTAATATATCTATTACACTCTATTAGGATGCCTAATTGAAATGGACATCTCTATCTATCTATTGTCTGCACAAAGCAGATGCATCTTTTCATCACACTATTTTTATTGCTTATTTCTTGATTTTTCCCAGGGGTAAAATGTTGATCACCTAACTCCAATTTATCAAGTGATTCCAAATAATTCTGATTATCGTTTGGGTGTTCACTACTCTTACCCCTAGGATTTTTTCTTCTTCAGACGTGAGTTGAATGAAAAATGTTTTGTAATAATTGTTCCATTGTTCCATTGCACCTAGTTTCGAAAATATTGAGGTAAGTGATGAGGAAAATATAAGTTCAACAATCAATTGCAAGCATCCTTTTGTCAAAGAAATTTATACCATAATTACTTCATGATATATACCGAGAAGTGCCCAAAAAACGGCCAGTGCTGTAACTTATGAGTAATTCGAGATTGAATTTTGAAATTTGGTCGGTATGAAGTGTACCAAATTGACAATTTTTTGACAATAAAATATTTGTTTCATCACTTCTGGTTGAACCGGAAATAACCCTAACTTTTGGTTTCCAAATAGAGGATATCCTGTTTATTCTTTTATTTTTGGATTCAGGGATCATTTCACATACTTAACAAGGAAATTTTTCTGATATTCTGAAAATATCAGAATATACAGGTTGTACTTTCTGAAAATCAAAAGTTGGGGTTGCTTCCGGTTGAAGCAGAAGTGATAAAATGTATATTTTTCAATAAAAGGCAATTTGGTATACCATTTACTACCCAACAAATTTCAAAATCCGATCTCAAATGATTAAGTAGTTACAGCTTAGGCCGTTTTTTGTGTACTTCTTTGTGTTGCAAATTTTTCCATTATTGGAATTGAAAAATTTCTCAATTTGATAGATCTGATATAGGATTTTGTATCATTTTTAAGTCAATGTATAATAATTCTGCAAAAAGTTTCAATAACAAGTCACACTTTTGATTCTTTGGGAGATATTTTCCATAGGAAGTGTATTAACAAATATATCAATTATGTAGGTATATCAGGAGCATAGACGGCACTTTTGGCTTCAAAAATGAAGTTTTCCAAATGTTGAAGGAAAAAACACGAGATTATAAGGAATCGCAGAGGCATGGCTCTTTACTCATTAATGAGTGTAAAATAACTGCCACAAAAAAATTCGATAAAAATAGCATGGAGTTCATAGGTTTCGTTGATTTTGGCAGTTACACTCCAAAAAAAAAACAGGAAAATACACTGGGAGACCATGCTCTGGTAGTCATGTTTCAGCCTTTCGCAGGAAAGGGGTTACAGGCTCTGGAATGATTCCTCACAAAGGGGAATATAAGAGGGGAAATCCAGGCTAAGATAATCCTTGAATGC